TGTTCATCAATTTATTATTAAGATGCTAATAACACATCTAGAAATTTAAACTAGAAAGTATCCAAAAATCATGTGCTATTGATACTTTTATGATGTACCTACTGATATTTAGCAGATGTTATTGGCTAAAGTCTGAAATAAGATCTTTATGATTTTGTTTTGAATGAAAAAGTTAAGATGGGTTTTGTTTTGATCGACTCTTTCAATTTCTCTTTTCTCTATATAATTTCCTTCCAATCCAGTCCAATAAATCCAACCCGCCTCTAAAAGGAGAATATTTTTTCGGTTTCACTTGAAAATGCATATATTTCTGATTCTACTACTAAACCCTCCATCGAATAGTAAAGATGCTCATTGAAACTTCGTCTCACAACCATAATAGCTAGGTATTATCGCAACGCAATAATACACGCAAATTTTCCATGTCAGGGGCACGATTTCCTTTTTTTTTCAAATAGGTAGGTAACAGATTTAAATTTTGTGTCAGGCAAACAATAAATTACCTAATCCGGTGAAGCGTGGCTAAGTAGGACTGTACCTACCCTATTTTGATGCTGCTACAAAATGTTTCGGTTGGTACTGTCGAAGTTTTCCCGGACGAAAATTTTATTTTCCGTACTGAAACGGAAGTAACTTATTACCTACATATGTAAAGAAGGTGTGCTTAATGTGCTTTACATTTTCACTAGTATATATAGGTAGTATGGAATAAATGTTCATTTTCCAGTTCCAGACTAAGGGCGGGTATTATAAAACTACTTTGAGAGTTAACTTAAAGTTAACTTCTAGAATTACATGTAATTCAAAAAGTTAACTGTCAAAGCAGTTCTATAATAGCCGCCCTAAAACAAAGTACGTAAGAATGTGCTTTACGTACGATACAGTATAACATAAAATACTATTTTAGTTCTAAAATCTTCACAGAATCTACAGCATAGACAGCACAGACGCATCTTGACGACGTCCCTAAGATGTCCACAATCGACATTCAAGGCGTCTTTGAGACGTCTGCTTACGTCTTCAAAGCGTCTTAAAGACATCTCAACGACGTCGTATGTCGTATGTTAGTGTTACAAAACCCAACTTCTGCCTAAAGACGCCTTCCTGACTAGGACTAATCTATTATTATTATTATTACTCATTTTATAACTTTCAATCTTTGTCTATTCCAGGCGCTAGGCTAATTCTGATGTCTTAAAATTGTTCTGAAGCCTTTCAAAATGCTGCTGGAAAGTGTTTTGGAACGTTCTAAATGGAATATTGAAATTCTAAAGTGTTCGAACTTGGCTTGAAGAGTTCTGGAACATTCTAGAAGACTTTTCAGTAATTTCTAAATTGGTATAACACATTTTTAAGTATTTTATTAAAGTCCTATTGAAGCTCCAAAGTGTTCTAAATTGGTTCAAAAGGGTTCTATTTTGGATGCTTATTAAAGGTCTAAAGTTCTACAACAATCTTTGTTCTGCAGCATTCTAAATGGTTTCCAGTATTAATTTCTAAATTAAATAAGAAACGAATTTTGTGGGAAATTTTTCTAGACATCTTAAGGACGTCTTGCTTACGTCTTTAAGGTGTTTTAAAGCCTAAAGTTGACTTTATTTTTTCAAGACGTCTTCAACGAGATGTCTTAGGGCCGAATAGTCGCTCCCTGAGGTTTTCTCAGACCTTAAACAAGCCTTGAACTTTAGAATTGCCATAACTAACTTGTCAAATAGTAGCAAGTGTCCATTATAAACACACGACCTCATTCAAGGAAAAGTCAAGGAACAACTATAAATTCGGCCCTTAAATACGTTTTTGAATCTATTTTCAATTCATAAATCATTATTCAGTTGTCTTTAAGATGGGAATCTAGGATATCTTATTGACATTTTCAAAACAACGTCTTTTTTTTTGTCTTCAGACGTTCAGTCGAAGTACCTAATGCAGACTTAAAAAATAAGTATTTAAGACTTTGTGTCCTGTCTGGGACTTTATAGCTTTGATCGGTGACTTGATTGCAGAAAACAGTATCTATACGACAGGAATACAATATACAGGTTGTCCCACGACGTTTCTCCCAGGTAATAACTTCGGAACGCGTCATTCAATATAATTGAAAATTTGAGGATCTGGGTAACTTTTTGTGCCGCTTCTACCATTGTTATCCAATTTCACCAGGTTTCGCTTCAATTTCGGTCAAGTGACGTCAACTTTCGAATCTTAAATGTAACTAATGGTATATTATGGCATTTTTCGTTAGAAAATTAAATTACAAAATCGGCAATGCCATATTTGTTATAAGGCTTTGTTAAGGAAAATGATAAAAAATTATACAGTGGAACATACAATGATGCGTTCCGAAGTTATCATTTGGGAAAAACCTCGTAGGACACCCTGTATACATATGAAACTATGAAACCTAACTTTTCCAACAGATTTATACCCGATACCGCCCTCAACGACTCGTCTAGTTTGCCCTAGAGTGCAGTAAAGATTAAAGAATTACTTTTCGCCCTTCTTACGTGATAATAGTTATTATTACTTAACAAACGCAGCAAGTGATACTTTACGTGTTATAGGAGGTACAAAATTTCACCTATAAGCATCTAAATTACATCTCCAAAAAAGGCATTATTGGAATTTTTGAAAAAGAAGAGATTTTTCATTATAAATACCAAAGTCTATTTATGCAATCTACTTTACTGCACACTATGCGGTAAAGTAACTTCAGTGCATAGTGTGCGGTGCGCGCGCTACTTTCCACTTGCATATAAGTGCGGTCAAAAGCTCGTAAGTAATAGTTATTTACCTAACAAATGCGGAAAGTGATACTTTACCGCACGCAACAGCCGTTAAGGCAGTGTACTGAATATCGGAACGGCGTCTAGGAAATTCAGTACTGACAGTTGATATCGGAACATTGCCCTCTATTATCTTAGGTGTGTTCCAAACCGCCAAAAAAACATCTCAAGAAAAGTTTCGGAATTTTTTTTACTCCTGTATACGAATTTCGGATTCCACGCATAAATTTTACGTTTTGAACAGAGTCAAAATCTCCTCTATCCGAAACTTTTGGATCGAGCTCCATTATTTACTCAATTCATTAAGTCGTACGTGCATGAAGTCACTCTAAAACACCATACGCGAACAGTGAGCCTCGGAGTACTTAAAACTCACGGACTGAACACATCGAACAAAAATCGATTTTTTCAAAATCTTCTTTGCCACCTATCTTCTTCTAACCGTTATTTTTTAACCAAGTCCAAGTGCCGGTTTGTAGTCGTGTCCAGTTTCTATATTTACCCCGGAGTTATGCCTAACCCAGGGGTGACTCGCTATTGAGAAACCGGTCCCAAGAATCGTAAACTAACAGGATTGCACTTGGGATTGCTAATCCTAAGCGTATGTTCGCCAATTCTCGAGTCGGCAGCTGGTCTGCGAGTGACGTCATCACTGCGTACATTTGCCAATCTCGGGTCGGCCGCTGGCAATGAACTATAAACTACACGTACCTGGAATGGCACCGACCGTTGTCGGACATGGCATTTGTATGGCATTTTTCATCTCTCTTAGTGCGTCCAAAGAAAGCTATATAGTGGGGGATCCCTTTCTCTCTCTATTTCATTGCTGTTAGGTATGGTGTATATTCCTAACCTCAAATTTAATATTTTTTAGACAAGGAAAGATTTTCATAAGTGACCCATAAGGTAAATAGAGATAGGAATCCCCTACATTCTCCATCTGAGTCCATCTCAATGTGCCGCATTTTGGAGATAGGCCGGGCCATTCCAGGTACGTGTAGTTTATAGTTCATTGGCCGCTGGTGTTCGAGTGACGTTGCCACTATCAGGAGATGATAGTGGTGACGTCACCAGCAGACCTTGATGGATTTGCCTCTTTTGATTCAGGCTGTGCTTGTAAGTTAATTTTTTCATGGATTTTAAATGTAGAAAAGGTGATTTTTTCGACGTTTATTAGGTATTAGTTTTTTTAGACCTATAGTGTTTTTAACTCGACTAACGCATTTTGCGCCAAGATCTGCGCTTGACATGGCAGACACTTAGAACTCAATAAGCAGTCCTATTCGGTTAGTGTTCTTACACCAAGTCCAAAATACCGAGTGTAAACTTTTTAATTCGATCCCAAATAATAAAGAGTAGCAAGAGTGCCATGGCGATGCACTGAAAAAATAGGTCTGTTTGTTATTGCAGTTCGTGTAGCGATAGGAGCGGTTAATTGTCTAACCTCAAAAAATGATTATTTAAATAATTTAAAGCGGAAACTAACCGTGAAAAGTGTATTATTATTGAAAAAAATAAAATTCACAAGGTTTTATTGTCGGAAATTCTAGAAAAGATGAGGATTTCCTATCTTCCAGCTTGAAAACACTTTCATAATTCATTGAAGTAGTTTCTAATACCCAGAAGCGCGATAAACGAAACTGCATAGGAACAAAATTTGAGACTGTGGTGCCTCCTTATACAGATATTGAATTCAAGAGGCATTTTCATATTAATTACTATTAATCGAGGTTTATAAATATAGAACCAGTCAAACAAAACAACACTATTGCAACCCATTCTGCACTTGTTACACTTCCTCTTGAGCAGGTGTAGGTAGTGCCAGATTGGGCACCCTACACTGAAATAACGATCTAAGGAAATAACAAACGTCTTACACTATTTGCACTAACCGCATACAAACGCCTTAGTGCAGAAAAGTGTAAATTTTGTGCACTAGTGGAGTATAACAAACCTACTATTTATAATATTATTTGGTTTGGGCAGGGGACAACGGGATGAAGTCGTAATGCTCCGTTTGCTCCAAGCATTACTTCGAACACACCAAAGGTGGGTTCGGCTTGCTCACTCCGAGTGACTCGATTCGCATTCCAGCCGTTCGGGTTAAGGTTTGGGTATTGCTTTTTACCGTATTAGGGGTGACTCCATTAGCTCTGTTCAACATGAAATTGCCGGTAGGTACCAAACCAAAAAAAATAAAAAGATTCTACAGACAAAGTTTTCTATAACCATTTATTTCTTAATTTCGGTGCCAATTTATTCACTTAAACTTAAAATAAATACAAAATTCAAAACAATAAAAAAAAATAATAATAATAACAAACAATAATTAGGCGCTGTCTTTTAAACTGAACCCTTCACCAGTGAACGGTTTAAACTCATCACTTTCATTATTATCATTATTTTTTGGTTTTGCTATTGCTCTAATGAATCTCAAACTTCCTATTTCATAGTCATAGTCTGGTATTCCTCTGACGTATATTGGTTTATGTGGCGAAACATCTAAAAACAATTATTGTAAATTAATAAATAAATGGTAAAAGGTCTTATACTACCAGTAGATGTAGAATCCTTCCGTTTCTTTCCATCCAATCTATTACCGGCTCCTTTAAATGCTATAAATCCAGTAGGCTCCGGCATCAATTCAGCAGGATCTACAGCCATTTCCTCTTCAGGTTTCCTCACTATTTCAGGTTCCTTGTATCCCACAGGCGCAGCAAACTCTACATTCATATCACATTCAATAATGCTTATGGCATTACCTGGTTTGGTTTCCAATACACAAAGCTCATAGATTTTTTGGTTGTATTGCACGGCAATTACATCTCCTTTAGTGAGGCAAGCAAACGATCTGAGGCAATTTTCTAATACAGCTTTCGGGTTAGTAATGTCAAGAAACTCTGGAGATAATGGCTGGAATTTGGAAAATGTACCGACAGGTAGAGAGACACTTTCCATTTGTACCAGCTCGCCTTCTTCTAGGTTCATATTGTGCATCATCTAGAGAAATAAAAAAGGTTAATTTGTTTATAATAATTAAGTAGAGGTAGCGCACCCATAATGGCAGGTAAACTTTTCCTTCATCAGCAACAAATTCCAAAACACCACAGTGTGTTTCTCTTCCAGAATTTTTATTTGTCAGTTTAAATAACATTGGGTAATTTATATTGAGTCTGGTAAGTTGTTCTAGAGCACTTGGAGGCATAATAACTATAAAAAAAATCCAATTTAATTATACAAGGTTAACAAAGAGTTATTTATCATTTGTTGAGGCATGGAATAACTTACTTTTTCCACCTCTTTCTACATCCTGTCTCTCATTTCCAGGAAGCATAGCTACCGAATAGCATTGGTAAGTAACATTGAAGGGCCTCGGAATGTCCGGGAACATGTTAAATCCAAATTGGAACTAAAACGAACAAATATTCATAATTAACAAGAAATTTTAAATAATACAACAGATTTGTGTAGTCAGAAATGACAAGAACAAAGTCGAACTCATAATAATAATGGAAAGTTAAAAATGATTACCATTTTGGCAATTCGCAAATAATACAAATAATAAACAGATAAACTATTGAACAATCCAATTGTCACAACAATTGTTATATATGAAATAATTTTATAATTTGTTTATTTATAAATTCAATAGTCATCAACCTGCTGGCTGAATCATATGACTTTGACATATGAATGAATGATATGACGTGCCATGACAATCGTGACATTTGCACCTAGCTTCACAGTTGTTTACATTTTCCAATTTTTTTTTTATATAGATGTATACAATTTCCAAATAAAATTTTCCTGTGGTCCTTTCAAGCTGTAATTAGAACATCTAAAATTAGAAGAGTCTAGAAAAATTGAGAATATCCCTCAAGGAAGCCTTATAAATACGTACCGATCCATGTGTGTGGCAGAAAATAGCTTGAAACTGTGTCAATTGAAAATTAACCTTACAATATTCCAGAATAGTAATTTTTCCGAGATAAAATGGAAATTATCGAGTGCGAAAAGTACAAGGAACAAGGCAATGAAGCTTTCAAAGATGAAAAATGGGACGATGCTTTGAAACATTACACTAAGGCCATCAATAGTGTTAAAGGAGAACCCAAAGAATTGGCAATTTACTGCAAGAATCGAGCTGCTGCCTATTTGAAGCTGGGAAATTATGAAAAAGCCATTGAAGATTGCGACAAGAGCTTGGATGTATGCCCCAATGATCCTAAGGCACTATTTAGAAGATGCCAGGCTTTAGAATCATTGCAAAGGTAAGATAAATCTCTCATTGATTTCTCATTTATGGTTGTATTGAGATATTGGCATTATTACCTTTATTAGGCTGTCCAAGAAGAGTCGTGAATTTTGGTATTATACAGGGTGTTTAAAAAAGACGTGGCAATATTTGAGGGGGTGATTCCTCAGGTCATTTTATGGAAAAAAGTTCCCATAAACATAGGTCAGATCAAGATACAGGGTGTTACAGATTTTTTAAAATATCATTTTTTTTTTAAATAATTCAAATATCTTCTCACCGATTTTTTTGAAAATTGGCAGCGTTGTTTTTAGTAATTAGGGGCTAGTTTTGCCCTAACTAGATAATTTTTTTTAACTCCAGTGGCGTTAGGGGGGGCAATTTAATAAAATTTATTGACGAAAAAATGTACGCCACTGACTTTAATTTAATTTCGATATTTCTTTCAGATAAAACAACTAAACTATCTTGCTTCGTTTACAAAATAAAAAATGAAAACTATTTTCTTGCTTGTCCATTGTGATACAAAATCATTACAAAAACTGTTCAAAGTGACCACCCCCGGCGTGGATGCAAGAATCCAATCTTCTCCTCATTGACTGGCGAACTCTCTCAAAAATACCAGGTCGTTTCTAATTGAGTTACACCCACCAATGATTCGAGCTCTTAGGTCCTCCACATTTTCCACGGGAGTAGCGTAAACTATAGACTTCAGGTGGCTCCACATGAAAAAATCCATAGGATTTAAATCCGGGGATCGTGCAGGCCATAAGTGAGGTCCACCACGGCCAATCCAGCGATTTCCGTATGTTCGTATGACTAAAATGCGCTGGTGCGCCATCGTGCATAAACCACATTACATTTCTTATTGCCAATGGTACGTTCTCCAGAAATCCAGGGAGTGTGCGTTCAAAAGTTGCAATATATCTCTCCGGTAAGTCTTCCTGGTCCAATTAGGTAGTCACCCACAATTACAATCCAAACGTTCAACGAGAACTGATGTTGAAAACGATCTTCAGATATTGCATGTGGATTTTCATCACACCATAAATGATTATTATGGAAATTCCTTATTGCATTTCTTGAAAAATTTGCTTCATCTGTAAAGAGAATCAGCATTAGTAGTTGAGGAATTTCAACCATTTTGTGTAAAAGCCATTGACAGAATGCAATATGTGGACGAAAATCAGCAGGACCAAGCCCTTGAACGCGTTGGATGTGGCATGGATATAACAAATTTTCCTCCAGAATGTGCCAAATAGTACCATTACATACATTGAAAGCCTCAGCAATTTTTCGAGTAGATGTACCTGGATCTTCTTCAATCATGTTCAGCACATTCTCTTCCAGCTCTACCGTTCTCGCTGTCCTTGGCCTTCCTGGTCCCCCACTTCATTTTAATGTGCCTGTTTTGTGAAGACGTCGATGAATGCTTTCGAAAGTTTTTCTATCAGGAGCAATACGCTCAGGAAATCTTTCAATGTACAACCGCCTAGCTTCTACTGCATTGCCATCAGCAAGTCCATAAATGAAGTGCATGTCGGTCATCTCGGCATTCGTATAGCGATTCATGTTACGGAACTTCAACAAATTTGAGAGACACCAAATGCTTAAAGCCCACAAATAACCACTTTACTGATTTTTAAACTGATGTGCACTTCGCAAATTATTCTTGGAATGTTGAAAAAGGTTTCTGTATCATATGTAAATGGACATGCATAGAATAGTTTTTATTTTTTATTTCGTCAACAGACTAGATACGAGAAAAATTTAAGAGACAAAAAAGTTGCAGTTTTAGTTGATTTATCTGAAAGAAAAATCGAAATTAAATTAAAGTCAGTGGCGTACATTTTTTCGTCAATAGATTTTATTAAATTGCCCCTCCTAACGCCACTGGAGTTAGAAAAAATTATCTAGTTAGGGCAAAACTAGCCCCTAATTACAAAAAACAACAAAAAAATTGGTGAGAAGATATTTGAATTATTTAAAAAAAAAAACGTTATTTTAAAAAATCTTTACCGCCCTGTATCTTGGAAAAAATGCATTTCCAGACCTATGTTTATGGGAACTTTTTTCCATAAAATGACCTGAGGAATCACCCCCTCAAATATTGCCGCGTCATTTTTAAACACCCTGTATATTATATTTTATAGTGTTCCAATAATTGAGAAACAGTCAAGACATTTTTTTTAATTTTTACTTTTATAAAACCAAGCTATACATATAGATAAACTAGTCACCAGTCAAAGTTAATTCTTCATAAACAGAAAAACAAATTTCCAAAGGTTTCTTTGGCTGTGACCCCTCTCTGAGTATTAGTGTTATAACAAATAATTAAAGTAGTAAGCAGTACAATATTGAAACAGTTCCCTGTAAAATACGTGAATTTAGTTCTTTACTGGAATACTTTATCATTCATTTCTTTTCCATAGATTTGAAGAAGCTTACCGAGATGCCACTCAAATCTTCAAAGATGATCCGGCAAACAAAACCATCCAACCTTACCTTCAAAGACTTCACAAAATCGTCGAGGAACGAGCAAGAATAAACTCCCAAACCAGCACTAAACTGGACACGATGCTTAAAATAGTATTCGACCCTAGCAATGACAAAGAAAAACGAGAGACTGCCATGAACAACTTGTTGGTGCTTGCCAGGGAACACGCCGGAAGCGAAGTGATGATAAAAAGCCCTGTGGTGCAAAAGATTAAAAATTTACTTAAAATAGAGAAAAATCAAACGTTATATGTAACAGGGGTGAGGATAATAGGCGAACTGTGCAAACATTCAGAAGACAAAACAAAGACTGTTATGAAAGATGTTGGAGTACCTTGGTTTTTGGAAATTTTAGATTCTAAAAATCAAGAAGTCGTTACTGCAGCTCAATATTGTTTGCAATGTATTTTAAACAGCCTATCCGGAATGGAGAATAAGGCAGACTCAAAACCTAAAAAAGAACTTGTAGAGAAAAATAAATCAGCCATTGACACCTTACTTACATGTCTTACAGTGTCTATTAATGAAAGAACCATAAGTGGCCTGGCAAGGGATGCTATCATAGAATTATTAACAAGAAATATACATTATACTACTCTTGAATGGGCAGAACAATTGGTTGAAAAAGATGGAGTAAGGAAACTGTTAGATTGTTGCAGTGAGTTACAAGAATTCCATTACGAAAGTGCCATGGATATTACACCATCAACTAGAACCATTGCTGCAGTTTGTTTAGCAAGAGTTTACGAAAACATGTACTATGATAAAGCGAAAGAAATTTTCTTAAATAAAGTGCAAGATTTCATCAAGGAAAAACTGTTGAGTCCTGACATTGAAAGTAAAGTAAGAATAACTGTTGTTATAACTGAACTTTTAAGAGGTCCTTTGGACTTGGGAAATATTCTTATAGGCAAAGAAGGGATTATAGAAATGATTCTTGTCATGGCAAATACTGAAGACGATGAGCTTCAGCAAAAAGTGGCTTGTGAATGTATTATCGCAGCAGCCAGCAAAGCTGATAAAGCGAGAAGTATCCTGGCGCAAGGAACTGACATTTTAAAGAAACTTTACAAATCCAAGAATGACCATATTAGAATCAGAGCTCTGGTTGGATTATGCAAATTAAGCAGCTATGGTGGAAATGATGCAACAATAAAACCATTTGCTGAAGGATCTACATTAAAACTAGCAGAGGCTTGTAGGAGATTTTTGCTTCATCCTGGCAAAGACACTGACATAAGGAAATGGTCAGCTGAAGGCCTTTCTTATCTCACCCTTGATGCTGAAGTAAAAGAAAAACTAATCGAAGACAAAGCAGCTCTGAAGGCTTTGGTGGAATTAGCTAAAAGTGGCGATCAAAGTGTAATTTTTGGTGTAATAACAACTCTTGTCAATCTTTGCAATGCTTATGAGAAACAAGAAGTCATACCGGAGATGGTACAGCTTGCCAAGTTTGCCAAACAACATATACCAGAGGAACACGAGTTGGATGATCCAGATTTTGTAACCAAGAGGCTGGTAGTGCTGGGACAAGAAAATTTCACTACAGCTTTGGTGGCTTTGAGTAAAACTGAGAGTGCAAATTCAAGGGAACTTATTTCAAGGGTGTTTAATGCTTTGGCTAGCGAACATGAATTGAGAGGAATTATGGTTCAACAGGGAGCTGTCAAGGTTTTAATTAAATTGGCTTTGGATGGAACTGAAAAAGTAAGAATTGAATGGATTACTTATGTAATTTTCACTGATATATTATTTGTTTGTTTCTAGGGAAAACGTCAAGCGTCTCAAGCCCTAGCGAGAATAGGCATCACAATGAACCCTGAAATAGCTTTTCCAGGCCAACGATCCCTTGAATGCATTAAGCCCTTACTCTCTCTATTACATCAAGATTGTACAGGACTTGAAAACTTTGAAGCCTTAATGGCGTTATGTAACATTGCCCAAATGAACGAGACAGCTCGCCAAAGAATTGTAAAAGAACAAGGTTTCTTCAAAATTGAACACTACATGTATGAAGACCACGAATATATTTCTAGAGCAGCTTTGCAGTGTATGTGCAACCTAGTACAAAGTGAGGACATTGTAAAGACCTTCTTTGAATCAGAAAATGATAGAGTTAAATTTATTGTCTCTTGTTGTCTGGATGAGGATCAAGACTCCGCAATGGCTGCCAGTGGAATGTTAGCAGTTCTTACAAGTTATAGTGAGAAATGCTGCGAAAAAATATTTGACTCTAAAAATTGGCTAGAAGCGATACAATGCTTGCTGGCCAACAAATTAGTAAGCATGCAATATAGAGGTGTGTGCATTGTTGCCAACATCATTAATGCTAGTAAAGTGTTAACAGAAAAATTAATGGAGAGTAGTGTATTGGAAATTTTGATGGCCTTGAAATTGTTACCTGATGAAGACAGTAATAGGAAAAAGATAAATGAAGTTATTGAGGATGCTTTGAAGACTGCTGAGAAATATGGAGTTATCAAAAAGCCTGAAGATGAGAATGATGATTAGAATAAAGTATTTGAAATGTTAATTTTTTATACATAAAATTTATATCTACAATTAAGTTTTTATTAGATTTGTCCACATTGTGAACAATGCTTATTGTTGATAGAACTTCACAAAGTTAAACAGATATTTATTGTATTTATTTTAAGTACTTTATGGTATTATTTATTACGGAAATAAATATTCATTGCCTTTTTCGTTTTTTCTTTACTATTTTGGTTACTTACCTCTCTGGCAGCCGCATTCTGAATGTTAATTCTTCTTGAAACAAATCGATTACGCCTGGAGGACATTTTTATAAAATTTAAGAAACAAATTAAACAAAATAGAGTTTAAAAATCGAAAATAAAAAAATAAGGGTTTTAGGTATTATCAACACAACGACAACTTCATTTCAATTTAAGAGTATGTTCCGTAAGCTGAACACACAAAGGTTCTTGTTCCGTTACTCTGACCGAAACAGAAAATAGGGTTATGGAACGCAGTCTTGAAAAAGTTGTTCTGAATTGTCAAGCGATCAAGGCTGAGTTCGGCTTTGCAGTCCACAGAGCGGAACGGTAGGTAGGTTCGGCTTGCTCACTCCGAGTGACTCCATTCGCACTCCAGCCGTTCGGGTATTGCTTTTGGGTGTATTAGGGGTGTCTCCATTAGCGTTCGACTATACGGAGTGGAGTAAATGGAGTTCACTCCAAAAGTTTCTTGTGTTGTCAGACTAGTTGTTTTCCTTTCACGAGTTTCAAGTACTCGAGCTACTCGCTCCGGTGTTTAGTCGCAGTAGATCCATATACTCTATCAGCAATAGTAAAAGGTGCTTCGTAATATTCATATATTTGTCCTTATTTGCAGGGAAAAGAGGCGTGGTGCAACAAACACTTTTCGAAAGGAATAAGCGCGTAACGCCCCGGAACTGTTTCGGAGCTTCTCCTAGGTGTGAAAGGAATACAACTATTGTGGAGGAAATGAAGTTAATTTATAGTACACGAAAGACCAAAGACAAAAGTGAAAAAAAAATTCGGAAACGGCTGGGATCACGACAAGTTAAACTCAGTAGATTTCTACTTTTGTGACGTCAGGTTGCCTAGCAACCGTCATCATTGCCTGTACTGTACGCGATAAATAAATCGAGGGTGACGTCATGAAAGTAGGATTCTGTGATCCCAGCTCTGCCCGGGGATTCTAAAATCACGATTCGACACACGACCCGATAACGGGACGATTTTTCCGACGATTCTAGGTTGGAATCTCATTGGAATCATATTTAAAATCTGTTTTTTTTTTTTAAAGATAAAAGTCAAAATGACATTAAGTTGGCAATACAATGTAAAATGTCAAAGCTTTCAAATTTTTTATGTAGAAAAGGCTTGTGCTGCCAACATAGTTACTAAATTTTTGACTTGGGGAATTATCTTTAAAAAAAAACAAACTTTACCTTTCGAGACGACAGGGCCGGTCCCGTTGTCGAGTCGTGTGTTTAAACGTGATTTAGAATCTCCCCCCTGGAACGTTGTAAAGTCACGGTTGACTGTTTTGTTTTGGAATAAAACAAATCAGCTGTTTGATATTTTTGCTGCGACCGTTCCGGTCGTTCGTGTATTAATTTTTCATTCCAATCACTCTCAGACCACGTGAAAAAAATCTGTTCTCACTTCACTGCAACTCCGTGCTGGATAGCCGAACCCAGCTAGTATGAGCATGGATATCATGACGTCATACGCAGAGTTCACCCTGAACAAGGCCATAAAGCCTAGTACTCATAACAGCGAAATTCGCTCTTTTTTAACATTGCTTCGACAATTTGACGTTTTATGCCTGAATCAAACGTCAAATTCTCGAAGCAATGTCAAAAAAGAGCGAATTTCGCGGTTATGAGTAATAAGCTTAAGCCGAACGCAGATGAAAAAAAAAACCTAACACTTGTCACCCTTGCTCGATTGGAACCCGAATGCAAAAGAGAACACTCTGAAAGCTAAAATAAATAGAATCTTCTCGCTTCGAGCGCGCTCGGAGTTTAACGAGTGTAAGCCGAACTCAGCCCAAGTAACAAGTGCCTTCTAACCTTGCGTTCGGTATTTTGCTCAAAGAGCAGAGCGTGCTGAGCGGAGCCGTAATCACGTGACCAGTGAGCGAACAGAGCAGTTGAACGCTGTATAAAAGTGCCAGATATTTTAATAAACGAACGCGAATGAGGCTGCACCGAGTACACTTTTTAAATAAACGAATGGTAAAGTCAAGCTCGGAGAACTCGGACCAAAATAACGAACGCACGGTAATATGCGTTCCCGGAGTAGATTAGTTCAAGGAGGTAAGGGTTCCTAAAATTACCGTTTTTTTTTTTCGTGGACCGGAATCGGAACGAAACCCATATTTCATAGAAATTATATGAGGCACTTAAGACAAGTGCTTATTAATATTTCACGGTTTCAAGATTTCATAAATTAGGCTGTTTGGTCGTATCGTAATAAATTTAACAAAAACAGAGCTTTACAAAGTTCGCATTTCTGAACTCGGCTAGGCAACACGAAGGATATTACACACTACTACGATTGCTCATCGGCCTCGATTTTTGGAATCAAGTTCATAAGGCGTTGCACCGTTGCCACATCATCAACAGTGTCGGCAAAGAGGAAGATGAAAACGAGATCTAAAAATCAGTTGTTCAAGAATGTAAATTATTGTAGTAAAACCAAATATGCATAAAGCAAAAGCCCCCAGAATCATAACTTGTAGTGCAAACAGCCTACGTCAAGACGAGAAAAAACATGCTGCTACGTTGCAACTGGTGATGTGGCGTAGTGGGAGGCTCCAGAATTGTTCCACACAGGCCTTATGAAGATAGGCCATCCTGTAGTAAGTAGTGTGGGTGCAAACTGCCATTATAAGTTGTATTAGGCTTTTTCGGGTTTGAAAAAAGGACGGTTCTAGAACGGTTCAAAACAATCGCCCAGTTTATGAATCAACGGCTCGGCTATCACAAATTTCAGTAATAAACTGTGCGATTGTTTTGAACCGTCCTTTTTTCAAACCCGAAAAGACCTATTGTATTTCTTTCACAGCTCCCGGGCACCAGAATCGAGAACTCAACCGATGTAGTGTGATTGAATAGGCGTGACAACGGCAAACCGGTAATATTTAGTAATCGGTAACGACAAGTATGATACGGTCTTAACACCGGAGCGAGTAGCTCTAGTATTCTTAACTCTTGGAAAGAATACAACTATTATGTTAAATAATGTACTAAAACCAAACATGCACAAAGCAAAAATCAGCGCAAACATAACCTGTAGTGCAAGCACTTTTCGTCAAGGCGAAAACTACACGCTGCCTGCGTCATTACTGGTACTTTGGCGTGGTGGGGTGTTTGAGATTTTTATTTATTTTCATAAATAATACATATTCAATATTTATGTAAAAGTCTATTCGAATGGCAATAGAACACCACTTACAGTTTGTATTTTACAACTGTGCCATAATACGTCCACCAGTAAACCTTATAAGAATATGCATGGCGCATTGATGACGTACGGGCAAAGTTGAAAAATACAACCTGTAATACTGATCGGAAATCGAGAACACAATAGCTATTTATATAACAAGTACATAAAGTAAGGCTTTATTGTACGAATAATTTTATGGCCGAGCGAGCTTGCGAGCGAGGCTATTAAATAATGAGTCAATAAAGCCTGTTTATGTAAGCGTTATATACATGATTTTATGTACGATTGCGACTGGCTTTTGTTAAAAATTAAAAAATTTTAATGAAAAAAGTAAAATTCGCGTAGGTATACCTGTTTCACCTTGGCAGGTTGTCAAGACCTGTTTCACCTTGGCAGGTTGTCAGAACCTGTTTTACCTTGTAAGGTAGTCTAGATAGGCAATAAAGTAGCACTTTATTTTACTAGTACAATAAAGTGCTACTTTATTGACGCAAAACTGTTCTATAAATAGCACTTTATTGGTCAATCGGACATAAAAATTTATTATTATTAATAATTATTATTAAAGCTGTTGCAAATTAACCACAATTTACAGAAACATAATTTTTTCTGATAGATAATTTGTGAAAAACCGTTAAAACCAAAATTTTTGGTCCGAACCGGAACCCTAACGGAACCGATGTTTGTCATGATGCTGTGGACCGGAACCGGAACGGAACGATATTCCATTTCGGTCCGGTTCTTGCCGAAGAGGATTCACATGTTCGGCTTAAAACGGAGCGAGCTCTCGGTGAGATTCACATGCTCGACATGAGCAATAGAACTCTTTCGAATCCCGCACGGAGCGCTCTTTCTTGTTCCGTTTGATTCGATGGATTACAACAATAACGTACACATTCGGCTAATGATTTAAAATGATGTGCCCTCGTTTTGTTTATATTCGCTCTCGGGTCACTTCCGGAGATATCTGGGAGCAGAGCGCTCTATGCGAGATTTGAGAGCGTTCCATTGCTCAAGTCGAACACGTGAATCTCGCCGAGAGAAACGCACCGTTTCAAGCCGAACATTGGTGCGTACGATAAGTCCGAACTACTGACACTTTTTACCCTGACCCGTCAATAATGTCGCACTTTTTACACCATTCGTACCGTGCAGCGTTCCATTTTCAGGTGGTTGCGTTCCAAAACATAATTGCACCGCACTAACGCTAACCGGTTCAGACAAATCGTACGCACCAATTGGTGCGTACGATAAGTCCGAACTACTAACACTTTTCACCCTGACCCGTCAATAATGTCGCACTTTTTACACCATTCGTACCGTGCAGCGTTCCATTTCCAGCTGGTTGCGATCCAAAACATAATTGCACCGCACTAACGCTAACCGGTTCAGACAAATCGTACGCACCAATTGAATCCATTTCGGATCGATTTTTGATCAATCGCGTGGAGTTTTGAAGTAAAAGTCGAAAGCAGTGTCTTATCCGGAGCACGTAAAATGAAAACGAATCTATCGAATTTTTTTTATGTTCGGGTATACTTTGACGCTCTCGTCACTCTAAAGTGAAATAAATCTGCTCAAACTCAACTCCAATTCCGAGTTGACAACGGGCACAGGAAATCCCTATTATCATTTACATAACCTCACAATTTTATTTAACTTGAATTTTAATTTTGTGTCTGTATCTTGTATGTTTTCCTTTGGATTATTCCCTTTCCCATAATTTTCCATTCGGGTTCAGTGGGAGAGTGTCGCGAAAAATAGTCCTCTAAACTGTTAAATTGAATAGAAATATCATGTTGGTTATCAAACGCATAAAACTGGTACTTTCTTGAAATCCTGACAACTATTTTCACTCTATCAACTTTTGACTATTTTTCTCCAAAATCCTGGTAAAACATGTCCAGTTTGGTAATGCGAGGGACCACCCTACATAAACTATTAAAACCCATAACAAGAACTCATGCCAACTGTGTATATCCCATAATATTTCATCGTACATACTATACAGTTAAACGCAAAATCATAAACGATGAGAATTTTTTGTCCAAACATTTGCAGAACAAAATCAAAGCTAAAGGACCCATTACTGTTGCTGACTATATGAAAGATGTGCTACAAAATCCTGCCAAAGGATACTATATGAACAAAGATATGCTTGGAGAGACTGGGGATTTCATAACTTCTCCTGAAATATCACAGGTTGGTTATCAATGGCTTTTATTATACATTTTCAAGTAATCTAATGTTATAGATATTTGGTGAAATGTTGGCAGTATGGTTTCTGAATGAATGCCAAAAAATGGGCTCACCTAAACCATTGCACATTATTGAACTAGGGCCTGGTAGAGGTACATTGAGTGCTGATATACTTAAAGTTTTTAGTCATTTCAAGGTAAGAATACTTAAGATTTTATGTAATAATTTGTATAAGTTGTTAAATTTTAGGCACTGCACAATACAAGTCTTCATCTAGTAGAAATTAGTCCTGTTTTGAGCGAAATACAAAGTAGAACTTTATGTATGTCCAGTAACTTGACTCATAATCCAAAATGTTTTCATTATAGAGAAGGTTTGTTCAAATAATTTTGAAATGTGAAAAGTTAAGCTTTACTTCATAGGAATTTCAAAACAAGGCATTCCGGTCTACTGGTATAGACAGTTTAAAGATGTACCGGAGGCATTTTCTCTTGTACTCGCCCATGAATTTTTCGATGCATTGCCCATTCATAAGTTTCATCAAACTTATGCTGGTTACAAAGAGGTCCTGATTGATTTGGATAATGGGGAAACTGATGAAGATATTAAATTCAGGTAAGAGAAATATTTGTATCTTAACTTTTGCAAAAATGGCAGTTGATATGCAGCACTTTCATGTGTGCTTCTGAGTCTTGATTCACAGTTTTATATCTTTGTCAAAATCCTAATTTTCATGATGGCAAGTATTTGAGTTGACTATAGTTTAATTTTCAAAGAGTGAGACAATTAATTAAACCCACTAACTTTTAATCCCTTAAACCCCCTACAGAGTGGAGTGACCCAAATCTTTCAAAAGCCTTATTTGTACAGATATCAGACATACAGAATTTTTACAAACTTCAAAAAAACCTTGAAAACCCACCCAAAGTAGAAAGTAATTTCTTGAAAAGTCTGAGCAATAATGGAGCAATCCTTATGAGTGCATTGAAATTTCACCTTCTCAAATCTAAACTAATTAAGAGTTAACATGAATTTTCATAAAAATTTGAGGAACATGTTTATTAGCAATTTGGATTTGGACATAGTTGACTTCAAAAAACCTTTCTACCAAAGAAGCACTTGTATATTCAAGGCAATATTGTAATTCATTTACTTTCCAGCCAGTAAACTGGCTGTACCAGGATGAAATAAAGTCTGCCAGAATTCTCCAAACACGATTTTATCTCAGGAAGTATAAGTCCAAATGAGCTGAAATTTTCAGGACTTGTAGACCTCTTCTGAGATAAGATTCACTGAAAATTTCAGGTGTACAGGGTGGCCCAAATTCGAGCTTCATCTTTGGGACCTCGGTAACCGTAAGAGATATGGGGTCGGAAAAAACAGAAATTTTATAAAATCGTTTTTATTTTTTCCTGGGCTTATTTGGAGAGCAATTTTAAAATAAATGTCACATCATCATTGTCACTTTTTCCCCTTTAGAAAATGGCGCTACTAAATTTAAAATTCAACGTTTCGTCTTCAGGCAGCCATCCTCAACTTCCTTTTTTTAAATACGGACCTGGATTTTTTATTTGCGATTTTGTCATCTTTGGGCATCCTTAAACCGATACTGTTTATAATTTTTCAATAACACAGTAAAAAAAGCAGGTCCGTATTTAAAAATAAATAAATTGATGATGATTCCAGAGGAACAAAACGTTAGATTTTAAATGTAATACCGCCATCTTGTAGAGAAGAAAAAGTGATAACGAGAATGTAAAATCAATTTTTCACAATATTTTTAAATAAAATCAGGGAAAAATGAAAAAACTCTACGAAAAAAAAAACATGAATTTCTCGTTTTTCTTAATTTTTTCCTGATTCCATTAAAAAGGATTTTAAAAAACTAATTTCACATTCCCATTGTCACTTTTTCTTCTCTACAAGATGGCGGTATTAAATTTGAAATTCAACGTTTCGTTCCTCTGGAATCATCATCAATTTTTTTTTTTTTAATGAGGACCTGCTTTTTTTACCGTGCTATTGAAAAATTATAAACAGTATCGGTTTTAAGATGCCCAAAGATGACAAAATCGCAAATAAAAAATCCAGGTCCGTATTTAAAAAAAGGAAATTGAGAATGGCCTCCTAAAGACGGAACGTCGAATTTTGAATTTAGTAGCACCATCTTCTAAAGGGGAAAAAGTGCCAACGATGAAGTGACATTTATTTTAAAATTGCTCTTCAAATAAGCGCAGGAAAAAATAAAAACGATTTTACAAAATTTCGGTTTTTTCCGAATATCTCCGGAAGTATTCGGAATCTTTCTAGTTTCAAAACTGCATTCTATTGGTCATAAAATTGCGCAACTTTGCCATAATTCAACCGACCCCCGTATCTCTTACGGTTACCGAGATCCCAATGATGAGGCTCGAATTTGGGCCACCCTGTACATCTCTGATACAATTGGAGTTACGATTATTTGGGACCTCAGAAACTCCTTACAGTGAGTTATTGTGAAATTTGAAGCCACAACATTTAAAAAAAGATTGGTGGGAAAATTGAGAAATACAAAAATTAACTTTACATTCTTGCGATTTTATCTCAAGAACTATTATACTCCCCAAATGAGCTGAAATTTTCAGGATTTGTAAACCTCTACTGGGAAAAGATTTCTTGAAAATTTCAGCTTCCTATTTATAAAACAATTAGAGTTAGGTATGATGTTCAAATTTTTTATAAAAAGGGGAAGGTCTTTCTTGAAAAGTGAAAAATGATCAAATTTTCAATTTTTCCATGGTGATACTTTGACTTCAAACTTCATACAGTGAGTTATTATGTGATTTAAAGCCAGAATAGTTGAAAAAAGATCTGTGGAAAAATTGAAAAATCCTAAAATTCACTCCACAATTTCTAGCTTTTTTGACAATTCCAATTCTTTTTCAGCTGAATTTTTTGGGGGTTATTTCTTTCATTAAAAGTAAAATTTATTTTAGGTATGTTCTTGCTAGGCAAGACACCCCCATGCTCAAAGTACTTCTCAAACCCGGAGAGGCTAGAGAACATGTTGAAATATCTCCAGATAGCATTTTAATCTATGCAGACATTTGTAAAAGGATCGTTAAAAACGGTGGAGTGTCGCTTATTTGTGATTATGGGCATAATGGAACGGGGACTGATACATTTAGGCAAGGATTGTTCACAAAATGTTAATTATATTTAATTTTTAATGCATTTAGGGCATTCAAACAACATAAACAAGTTGACCCATTGCTAAATCCAGGTTCTGCTGATTTAACTGCAGATGTAGATTTTAATGTTATTAGAGAGGTAAGTATTGAAATTAATTAATCAACAGAATATAGATTTTGTTTTTTTAGATTGCAATCGAAAACGGTGAAATCATATTTCTGGGTCCTGTCAAGCAAAGAAGCTTCTTACACAGAATTGGCATTGAGCATCGGGTAAAAGCTTTGACTGAGAAAATGTCTGATAAGAAGCAAATGGAAAATTTGATGGAAAGCTACAACTTTTTGACTGACAACGCAAAAATGGGGGAGAGATTTAAATTTTGCGCTCTGTTGCCTGGAACAATGAAAAAAATTCTTGATCGATATCCTGTTGTAGGGTTTTAGTAATGTTTGTCCCTTGTGAAATTGTTATCTGTGATATTGTAAATAAACGTGTTTATCGTAACTTTCTGTGCTGCACACTAATAGATAGGAAATATATTTATTTTTTATTCTTGCATCCTACCATTGAATATTGAAATGTCCCAATAGTACTTTTGTATTTATTGGTCTGTTTTAGATTATTTTTTCCCGATCTTAAAAGATACGAACAAACTGGTTCCAATAGAAAGTTGAACTTGAAGTTCAAGCTATGAGTAACCCTTAAGCACTATTATCAGTAGACCAGATTGACATTGTCGATTCAATTGGAAATATTTATTCCTTAACCTAATGCCATTTTTATTAATCCTATCAAATGTTCCATTGGAGCAATATAATTTTATAATTAAAAGTTTTCTACAATACTAAGTACCAGTACCAAAAGGAAGCAGGTCTTTGAAGCATAAGATCCCTGCTCTATCAACATAGTCTGTATCAAAAATATATGTTTTAAAGGATTGTGTACTGTCCAATTATTTCAAGAGGGCCAGCCATTTATTCAAAACACCACAATATGGAACTTTATACAAGCAGGACATAGATACTCAAAAGTGAAAAATCTACCATTGATATAAATGCATGTAATCTTAACATTGAATATTATGTAGTAACAATTTTTTTCCGACCTGCAGTCTTTTATACAAATTTTCAATAAAAATAAAACAAAAACAAACTGGAAAAAATAATAAATATAAATATAAATTTATATTTTATCTACCTATAGGGACACCCGTTGGCCCAGTGTCCAGATTCCCCGCAGACATAGCACCTAAATGCACAAATTTCTATTGTATTTTATCTCGTAAACTTTTAATTACTTACCTTCCATATCCTCCATAATAGGGTCTATCATACCTAAAATTATAAATTAAAGAAAGCGATAACGGATAATCGATATTAATTTACCAGTTATCATTATAATACTCCTCTAGATCTTCAGAGTCCTCGGTTATGTTGCCACTGGAGTCTGAGGACGATGGGGAGGTCACTGTTGAATATAATGATTATTATTATTGAAAAATGAAAATAAAATTATACTAAATAATAAAGTAATTTACAAAGATTTTCAACAACATTTGCAAAAAGATTGGAACATTTTTATTCTATTTTCAGAAGGTTTTTATTTTTTGGTTTTTCAACATGCAGTAACATGCAACTTTTTTTCCAATTTGATCATCTCAAGGCTTATAGAATCATTATTCTTTAAAACCTTTTCTTAACATGCGTATTAATTATTATTTCAAAAATTTCATTGTTGTCATGCATTTTTTTTAAATTTTGACCTCCATATCTTGGGGCTTAAAAATTATTATTTACCCTGTCTTTGCTTGCAGCTAGAAAGTTAATATATATTTGGAACTAGATATTTTTTTGAATCTTTTGTGTGACTGCATACTTTTGTAACGCATATAATGAAATATCTATCTACTTTACTGTCAGAATCCTTAATTGATTCATGAATACCTTGCTGGACAATACAGCTATTTAGCTATGTCCACTTTTAAGAATTAAAGTTCAAAAAATAAAATGATAATAAACAATAAGGAATGAAATAAAAAGAAACATTTTTTCAAAGTATTTTATTAAAAACATAATAATTATTCTAATGTAGTTTAATATTTCAAAATAAAAATCACTATGATGCGGCTTCAGTTTTGTGGATGATATTCTGAGTGTTATTAAGAAGGGCCCTTTTGTATTACGCCGCGATGTCCATCAATAACGCCACCCTTAAAAGATTAGGTATTTCTTTTTATTTCAATACTGTAAGTCTAATGGTTTCTAAATATTTTCGAGCATAAAATATTTAAAAACCATTCACCTTCACCTACTGGTTACAAAAAATAATATTTAAATGGAATGCAAATAAAGTGAATAAAATAAAAGTTTCTTACTAGGTTGTAGGACAGGTCCTGCAGGTGGCCGATGATTTCTCCTTCTAACATTTCTACTCCCTCTTCCGTTTCTACCCCCTCTTGCGTTTGCAGCCTGCTGCTGGTTTTTGGCTGCAATTTCTGCATCAGCAATTTTTTGTCTCTCATCTATGACCTCTTTGCGTAATTTTTTATCTTCCTCGGAAGCGTTATCCATCATCTAAAAAAAAAATATAAATAAACAAACGCCCTAGAAAATTTTGATAATTTATTTTCACCTTTTCAATAATATTATCCAGCACTAATGTCCTAGTAGTGGAAACCATTTTAGTTCGACAAATGGGACAGTCGGTTTTATTTTTTTTCCATGATTCGATGCAATATTGACAGAAGGAATGTGAACAACCTAGGGTGACAGCTTTTATGAACAAATTGGAACATATTACACACATCAGTTCGTTCTCCATTTCTTCATATGCGTTCTGATGAGAATAATTATAATATTAAAGACAAATTCGTTTGAAAAGTAGATGTCCTACCTGGTCGAGACCTTGATTTAATTGTTTAGGTGGCTCCAATTCATCACATTTCTCTGAATCTTTGCTTGTGCCTGGCCTTTGAGCATCTTGCGATATTTTAGGGGGACTTTTTTCTTTAGTTTCTAAAAACAATTATTAAAAAATTAGGTTTGACACTACATTGAAGCATCAGAAAAAGTTCAGAAATCTTATTTTAATAAAACAAAATAATGAAAAATATCAAAAAAGTAGAATAGCAAAGAGAATTGCCAGAGCCAAAAAGGACTGGAACAAGTTTTCATGAAATAAACACCCTACACTGAAGATACAATAATTACAGTAAACTCGCGCTAGTGTGAACACACGCTACATTATATATTTTGTAGTGCAAAAATAACAACTTACTTTAATCAATAAACTGGAAAAATTTACTTAATAGATATGTTTGCAAGTTCCTATTGTATTTATTTTTCTTAAATTTCCTTCAATGTTCTAGATAATATGAACAAGTAAGTTTTTTTATGTTCCCACTAGCGCGATATTACTTTATATTGTTTTAAATAATATTATTATGTACCTGTATTTTGTGGTAAATTCGTAGTAGTTGCAGTATTCTGAATCACATTTCGCTCTATCCGTATGATTTTTATAGGATTTGGGAAATTTGAAGATGGATTTTCTTGTTGACTTCCAGGTGTACGAACAGAACTACCAGCTTGGACATTGCCAATATTATTTGTTTTAATACAGAAAACCGTTGGCTGTTTGAATGTTCTGGATAATGAACACATAGTTGGCATATTTGAAGAAGTGGGGCTCTGAAGTTTAATTCTCTTACAATCATCATAGTATTTAGCTAACTCGTAAGGCAGATCTTTTTTTAAACAAATTTTTCCGTTGATAAAATAAAAACCATCACTTTGTTCTGAAGAAGCAGCACTTATTTCAGGTCTATTAGAAGTACTGTCAAAAACTGGCAATATGTTTGATGGTCCAGCATTTTCATTAGTTTGTAGATTTTCTGGCAATGAATGAGTTATGGTACTTGCAGAACTTGTATGAGTTGGCATATTTGAGGAAGTGACGCACTGAAGTTTAATTCTCTTACTATCATCATTGTATCTAGCCATCTCGTATGGCAGATAAAAACCATCACTTTGCTCTGAACAAGCAGCATCCGCTTTTCTTAAATCAACCCATAATTCAGGTCTATTAGAACTACTGCCAGAGATCGGCAATCTATTTGATGATCCAGCATTTTCATTAGTTTGTAGATCTTCTGGCAATGAATAAGTTATGGTACTTGTAGAACTCGTTGTAGAACTATTACCACCATCTGAATTATAAGTATTATTATCATCAGTGATATCTATGCTCATAGGATTCTTCAATACAGATGTAGTATTTGTTGAAAAGGATGGAGCCCTTGTAACTTCTCCAGGTTCATCACCAGTAATATCTATAGTGTTAGGAGAATTAGGTACTGGTAGTTGAGCTCCATTGGCATAGTCATGGTCTAAATCAATAATTGTCTCCACTGAACTTGTAGAATTTTCCAACTCATTATTTTCTTCTATAGGATTGTTATTATTTAAATTTTGTACCGATTCATTTGATGATGTAGGCAAATTAATTTGTGCCTCATTTATTACTGGAATATTTTCTGCATTGGATGATGTACTTGGTTGATTTTCATCTTCTATTTTGTCTTCGTTGTCCTTTTGGCTGAGTAAATCATCAGCCAAATTATTGAGAACGTCATCACTTATACCATTTTCATCGAAGCTACTCCACGAGTTTGGCCTTGGAGATGAATTTTCTTCCATTCTGAGCCTTTCAATTTGACTATTTGGAACGCTCTCATCTCGTAATAGAAATTTGTAAGTGCACTCAGCAAGACCCAAACAAATTTCATCCTTATGTTTTAGTTGAGCAGTCAATGCGCCTTTATAAAGTTCTTCATTAACCAAAGTACCATTGGTACTCTAAAATAAAATTGATATAAACCACGACTAAGTGTGATAGTTGAGATACTAACTGAATCTGTAAGAGTCCAGTTATCTTCAAGTTTTTCCAAGATACAGTGGGTTCTTGAAACTACTCTGCTTTCTATTACAAAGTCGGCAGCTAGGCCTCGACCAATAGTAAACTAAAAGAAACAGTTTTAAATTGAAGTTATTTTAAATGAAAATACAAATACTACTAGGCTAAACAGAATTGGTTTTAGAACTGATATTCTATAATTTTGCTCATTCTTAATTCATGAAAACTTCAATTTATTCAATTTTGGTTCCTTTACGGAGTATAATGGAACAAAAAATATTTAAAAAAAAATTAGGACATTGGGTCCTTGGTCCATAAATACTTTGTGATTTTGCTTATCTTAATCTTCAAATTGATATGTGTTTATTTTTATACTTGTATGGAATCAATAAAATAGTTATTTATGTATCAAGGGAATTATAAGAGTGTTAATACCCCAGGGCAAAGTTTGGGTTAGTTGATTTGAACCAATCAGATTGGAATTACGCGATAATTTGCACTAGTGCAAATTATCAGATAATTGCATAGTAACTGGTGTTTTGACATTTTTTGACAAAAAATTTAAATTTTTGATTTATGAAATTCTCTCATTAAATACAACTCGTGCAATGGAAATATATTTATAATTTTTGGCAAATTTGCACTCATGCGTTTTTATAAAGAAATGAACCATCAACCAAAATTTCTATTTTTTGTCAAAGTTTCACCTATTCAAGATAAAAGCGCGAGTTAAGGAAATCCTTAACTCCCTTGAGAGTTATGATATCCTTAACTCCCGCGCGGGAGTTATGAAATCCTTAACTCCCTTGGGTTATAATAGTTCAGTAGGAAATAATAGTTATGTATGCAGCCTCTAGGAATTTGACAAGCCTTGTTCAAAACATGAATGCGGCGTTAAATAGAATTTATAAATATACTGTGAAATATCGTTTAAAGTTAAATGCGAATAAGTCAAAATTCATGTTAATAACCAATGACAAAACCAAACTCCATTGTGATGACAATGATCTTTCATTGATGGTTGGATCTGATAAGATTCAAAGAGTACAAAAGTTTAAATATTTGGGGGTGATAGTGGATGATAAACTTTTATTTAGGGAACATTGCAATTATATTGTGTCTAAAATAAGTTTTAGTGTTAACTATCTATGTCGATGTTCCTATTTTCTCTCTTTCTGGTCAAAGTTAGTTGTATATAATACATTAGTTTTGCCACATTTCAACTTCTGTGCAACAATCATGTATTTATTCAAGCAGAATGAGGTGGCTAGACTACAAAAATTGCAGAACCGGGCTATGCGTATGATTCTTTCCTGTAGCAAGTATACACCAATAAACTCAATGTTAAGAGTAATGCAATGGCTACCGGTTGTGGAATTTGTAAGGTATAATGCCTTGGTTTTTATTTTTAAGATAAAGATTGGACGTGCTCCTGAATACCTTATAAACAAAATAGTTTACAACAATGAAGTGCATAACTATAATACCAGAAATAGAAATAATTTTTTCATAACTCCAAAGAGTAAAAAATGTTCAATGAATTCAATTTTTCATAAAGGATTTAACGAGTTTAATAACCTACCAGAAGAGATAAAAAACTGCACTTCATTGTTGAGTTTCAAGAAAAAACTAAAAATTTATATGCTAGGTAATTGTGATATACTGGATGGTTGATCTTGTGATAACTTTTAAATTATTGTGTATCGTTTGTGATTATTAAGTTTTGTTCTGTTAGTTTACCTATTTTATGAATTATTTATTATTTTACATTTTATTTTTTACTTACTTTTCATATACTTATATTGTATATATTTTGTACTATTGTAAACTAGCAATTTTTATGCTAAATAAAGGATTTATGTATCAAGAGAATTATGAGGGTGTTAATACCCCAGGGCAAAGTTTGTGTCTCGAGGGCCTCTGGCCCGAGGGACACCAATTGCCCGTAGGTATTAACACCTGATAATTCCCGTGGTACATAGATAATTTTATATCCTACTGGATTTACTGTATTTTGTCTATTTTTATACAGGAATAAACCATAAACCAAAATTCATATTTTTTCTCTAAGTTTTAAGTACCTATTCAAGGTAAAAGCGGGAGTTATGGAAATCCTTAACTCCCTTGGGAGTTATGATATCCTTAACTCCCTTGGGAGTTATGAAATCCTTAAATCCCGCGCAGGAGTTAAGACCCTGTTTATGATTATCGTAACCCAGGTATTATATGATTATAATAGTTCAGTAGAATATAAAATAAATAAATATATTGTCTATTCAGAATCTATAGTCCAAAGGTACAGGTAAAATGCATCACCTTTCAATGCTATTTGATAGGGAAAGGTGATAAATTTACCTGTACCTTTGGACTACAGATTGTGAATAGGATATAATATGATGCACTTCAAGTCATGCTTCAAGTAACAATGAATTTGAAAATAAATACAAATAAGTAATTTTATATTCGTAGATGTTTTAAATACTTACAGGGCTCTTAATAACTCTGATGATTTGACCAGTTTGGATGTGTTTCAAAATGGGGGCCTCCAAATCCATTGGGAACAATAAATTATGCACCTTTTTTTACCATTTACAGAATATTTTAAAATTCAATCCAAGAATATATAAAAAAAAATAGAATGTTCTATGATTTGATATTTGATGATTTATCAGTTTAATGAATTCGGGGTTTTCCTAGCAAAATCTTTAAACTAGTAAAACCCAAAACAAGGAAAAACTTTTTATTCATACAATTTTCGATTATTTTGGCTTGATATTGATTTTAATGATGATTGATGTTTTGTTTTATTGTTTTACCAATAGTTGTATTCCTTTCACACTTAGGAGGAGCTCCGGAACAGCCTGGGTCGACTGACACCGGAGCGAGTAGCTCTAGTGTTCCAAACTCTTGAAAGGAATACAACTAATCGGTGAACGTTGTGATGACAGATTCGGCTGAAGGTCGTTCTCACAGGGGCATATTCACGATTCGACAACCCGGGTTATATTCTACCTATTGGTAAATCCAAGGTTCCTGAAGTTCATAGGTTGTCTGGTAATGGGTAACCTGATGACGCATCTAGGGTGCCTTATGGAGATTTGAATTATGTTGAGGCCTTAGGTTGAGGCACCCCAGATGACGTCATAAAGTTATCAGGCAACCTACCTCTCTCAAACAACCTTGGGTAAATCTTACTCGGATAGTTGGAGTGACCCAGGAGTGACCTAACTGGGTTAAGGATTAAGGAACGCCCCAACCAAGGTGAATAGGGCAAGTACACGATCTGACAGTTTGACACTATTGACAATCGCCTTGAGGTAAAACAAAGATATAATTTACAGTGTTTCTTAAGTTTTTAGTTTTTTTTTTTTACATAAATACCTTTTGTGTGCTCCAGAGGTTTCTGGGACATGCCTAGAGTTTGTTTAGTTGTTAATTGTGGCAGTATAGCGCAAGGAATACAATATCCTTCCATAGGTTTCCATCAATTTTAAATAACAATGGGAGATTTGATTTGCTAGCTCAAGAAAGAAGAGAAAACTTAATTATTGTTCTTGAAAGAGAAGATCTAACAGAAAAATAGATAGAATATAGAATAACTATACTTAAAGTCTGTTTTTTTTTTTAAAGATAATTCCCCAAGTCAAAAATTTAGTAACTTTGTTGGCAACACAAGCCTTTTCTACACAAAAAAATTGAAAGCATTGACAATTTTACATTGCATTGCCAACATAATGTCATTTTGACTTTTATCTTTAAAAAAAAACAGATTTTATATATTTGTTCTTGTGACACTTGGTTTTGATATTTGTTGGAAAAAACCAGAATTTAATCCATTATAGGAAAACCTAGCAAACTTTTAGATAAAAGACCACATAGACTGGAACACAAACACTCCGCTCTAACTTTTTTAAAACAAAATAATACCAAAACTTGTAAAAAAACTGTGAAAACCGCATAAAACATAACCGGCCTAATCTACACAAATGTAAATGATTTGTTTTACCTCAGGGCGACTGTCAAACTCATTTGTGACGTCACATGTCCATGGACATGTCCTCAATTTTGCATTACGTACATTCGTCGTTTATTTCTGCATTTTCTTTGTGAATTGAATTTGTATCTGACCATGGATACGATCCAGCTACCTTTTTTAAAAACGTTGTGATGGCCTCGGAATTAAAAAATAACATCATGATACTATCGCGCATGTCGAGAAAATTTTACCTAAACTCTTTCCAACGAACCTACGGAGTATGACAGAGTCAAAATGGCGGCTAGGTTTACACTGAACACTGATTTTGCCATTTATTTCAAAGTTACAAAACATTGATTGGACAGAGTATAGCTGATTGTGAACTGTAATTTTACCGGGTTGAAGCATCCCGATTCATGAACGACTTTTCGGGACGCTGTACAGTGACTCTATAACCCACAGTGGCGACAATTGCTGTCTCATTTTTGATTGGTTCTAAAATCCCATATATTTATATTGAAAACACCGCCATCTTGTTCCGAACCCCTTGTTACTTTTAAATATGAATATATGGGATTTAGGTGAACATTCATCATAAATCATGGAAAACAACGTATTTGATGGACCTAATAATGGTCATCAATTACGTCGATTTAAATTTTTTATGATAGATGTCCATTTAAATCCTATATATTAATATTTAAAAGTAACAAGAGGTTGGGAACAAGATGGCGGCGAAACCTCTATTGTCGCCACTGTATGTAAAGATTTATTTAGCCACTGTAGGACGCTGCAGCGCGCCTGGGCGTCTATCGTGAATGCAGCCCAGAGTCTCTGACAGTTTGCAAACTGACAGAAACAATCGCTTTAGGTAACTAATGGCCGTTTGCACCGACAATTTTAAGGGAGGTATAACGATAATCAAACGTTTAAAGTGACAATTTTACATGCAAAAATGTCACTCTAAACATTGATTATCATTAAACCTCCCTTAAAGTGGTCGGTGCAAATGGCCATAATATATCCAGAACTACGGCATTGGTTGCGTTCCTAAGGACTCAACATGTTGAGTGATTAGTCAGCGGCTATGTTGAAAACAGATGAAAGTCAGCTCTAGGCCAATCAAAACTTTTCTACCTTGTGCATTTCACTAGCTGGAACAAAGCCGCTTACCAATCACTCAACATGTTGAGTGCTTAGGAACGCGACCATTGAAAACATGGATGGGCGATGCACACTGTCAGGTCAGAGACTCTTGTCTGGACTCTTGTGAGAACAGACCTTTAGGCCGGCCTCACACCGCCGAAATGTCTTTCTGAATTCAGGAACAGAAACAGAATTCAGGATCTGAATTCCGGCACTTGCCGCGCACATATTTTAAAAATTCCGTGACTTGTATTCTCCGTAGTTTGCGACTACTTTTGAGCGGTCTTGGTTCGAAGGAAAGAATCAGAATCTGAATTCCGGCTGTGAAAAATTTGGAAAAATCAGAATGTGTGTGCTGCGTACTAAAAAGGGAATAATGCTTTTGGCATTACTTGGTTTGGTTTCCAATACACAAAGCTCATAGATTTTTTGGTTGTATCGCACGGCAATTACATCTCCTTTCAGCCTAGTACTTATAACCGCGAAATTCGCACTTTTTTGACATTGCCTCGATAATTTGACGTTTGATTCACGCATAAAGCCTAGTACTCATAACTGAGAAATTCGCTCTTTTTTGACATTGCTTCGACAATTTGACGTTTGATCAATGCATAAAACATCAAATTGTCGAAGCAATGTCAAAAAAGTGCGAATTTCGCAGTTATAAGTACTAGGCTTAAAACGTCAAATTGTCGAAGCAATGCCAAAAAAAAACGAATTTCGCTGTTATGAGTACTAGGCTTTAAGCCTAGTTTGACATTGCGTTGACAATTTGACGTTTTATGCGTTTATCAAACGTCAAATTGTCGAAGCAATGTCAAAAAATGCGAATTTCGCAGTTATGAGTACTAGGCTTTAGTCAGGCAAGCGAACGATCTAAGGCAATTTTCTTATACAGCTTTTGGGTAAGTAATGTCGAGAAACTCTGGAGATAATGGCTGAAATAGGATTCTGTTTAGGCACCCTAGGTGACGTCATAAACTTTATCAGGCAAGGCAACCTAAAGTGTGTTTTTTTTTTAAAGATAAAAGTCAAAATGACATTATGTTGGTAATACAATGTAAAATTGTCAATGCTTTCAAATTTTTTATGTAGAAAAGGCTTGTGTTGCCAACATAGTTACTAAATTTTTGACTTGGGGAATTATCTTTTAAAAACAACAGACTTTATCTCTTTCAAACAACCTTGTGCTAAGGGTCGGTTTCTCAATTACTGTATTCCTTTTCCCTGTTGAGTTACTCGGACCTGCTCAATGTCAAAAGCTTGAACGTTCCTTTTGAACGTGCGTTAAGCACTCGAGGCGCTCATAGTGCATCCTCCTTTCCCCTACTGCACCAAATTTGCGGGGCGTGCAAGAAGCCCTTTTTAGGTAATGTTAATATTGAAGAATAATGATATATCTGAATTGTGTGTATTGGAGTGACTCCGAGGAGCTCTAGAGCGACACGTTCGTTGCAACTCGATGTATAAAAGAATACAGTAAATAGCGAGTCACCTCCGAGTTGGTTTTAACTCCAGGGTAAGCGTGACCAGTTTCTTTGTTTACCCTGGAGTTATGCTTAACCCTGGGGTGATTCGCTGTTGAGAAACCGGCCCTAAGAGTTGCTTTTTAAGAGCTTTAAATAGGGACAAATGAACGACGATCTACTCTTGAGATCAGCTTGAAGCAAGGAGAGCACTCAGATCGGAAAACAGTAGTACAAATAAACACAGTATTTCTTCATTAAGGGCCTGTTCGGGTTTGAAAAGAAGACGGTTCTAGAACGGAACAGTTTAAAACAATCGCACAGTTTATCAATCAACAAAATAACAGTGGCTCGGCTATCAAGGATAATACGATAATACACACTACTACACAGAATTGCTTTTCGGCCTCATTTTTGGGAATCGCACGGGCCTTATGAGGATAAGCTATCCTGTAGTGGTAGTGTGTTTTATCCTTGCTTGGCTATCACAAATTTCAATACCTGTGGGATTGTTTTGAACCCTTCTACAACAGTCCCTTTTTCTAGCTTTTATCACTATAATCTTTAATTTTTATTGCTCGAAAATTCTAAAACACCTCCAATACCTACTTGGAATAATTTTTGCATTTGCAAAATAAGTAGCTCATAAATATGTTGTCTTGATTATTTACCAATATTTTATTTCAATTTGTTACACATTTTCTTCCTTGTATTTTTAATTGAGATTTATTCAGACCTTGAATTATTCAAACTACCTACCCCCAGCAACCAGCAACAAAATCACAAGAAACAAAAGTAAAATGAAGTATAAATTCCACAAACAATAGTTATCCATTATTCTGGATCATAGTCATAATAACAAGAAAAATAAATAATATCTTAATAAGGGTTTATTTAAAACATAGTACACAGTCTGGTTAGGACTTAAATTAAATATAAAGTTTGCACTTAATTCTAATGTTATAACACCAAATAGGGCTTTTTTTCTATAATTACTCCACTACCAAAGTGCTGCTCAGTAAACATTATATTATGCCATTATGCAGCAATTTTAATTTAGAAAGTTTACTGAACAACACTTGCTAAAAAGTGCTTTACTTCAATCTTTTGAAAAGGTCTTTTGTGACACAGTGATCAACAGCATGGAGTAGATCAAACAATTCTTCAACACAAGTTTCGGCAGTTTGGCTTCTAGAATTGACTCTGTCATTGCAGGCTTGGTATTTTTCAGCAAGGTCCTGACAGTGTTTTGTGCCCCTACATTGTTCCTAGAGAAATTCAATAATCTATGTTATTTCAGATAGTCTAGAGACTATAGACATAAAAACAACTTTATTTGCTAATCATGAAATTTGGTAAATGTATTTAGTTAGTTTGAATTATATAATTGCGGCAATAGGTAGTAAACAAATGAGTATTGCATTAGTTTTGAGTGAAGTCCAAAGACTGTTCTTCAAAAGTGAGGTTAATTTAGTTTTACCCTTAAAGCTTGTTGAGGATCAACCATCTCTTCCTCTTCTTGGGCTCTAACGGTGAACAACCTTTTGGTAAAGAATTTGTCGAAGAACATTTTTTTTTACGGAAAATTCAACAAAGTTGAAAAAAGTGTATTTATGTAATAGCCCCCCACCCTTAACTTCGCCACACAAAGCAAAAAAAAGCTGTCTTTAAGCTGTCAGCTGGCATTTCACAGGAGAATTCCATTTGAACTTTTGGTTGCAGACGGTAGCTGTTCATTTGTCTACGCGACCACGGCGAATCACGGTTCGTGTCAACAGTGTCAACCAAGTGCGATTTTTTTGATTCTTTGGTATGCTAAGTTCAAGGATAATATACACTACTACAGGATTGCTTATCGGCCTTATTTCTGGTATTTAATAACAGTCATATCGTGTAGCACCATTGACGACGTCATTAATTAAGTCGTCAGCTGTTTGCTAGCGGTCGCAGTTTAAAATTTAAGTTTATGATGAAAAATAAGGGTGTATTCCGTTTGTATCTTTGGTTATGGTCAGCCGTTCCGTTTGTACCATTGGTTTGTACCGATAAGCTGAAAAAATTGTTTAAATATGGAATACGCTTATCTGCCCACTGTTGACACCACCATAGAACCGACCATATTTGCTGGTATCTTTGGTGTGTTGCATAGGTGTGTTGTATGCTTGTATGAAATACGTCTAACATATGGCAATTTTTCGCAAGGATAACAGATGTTTTATGTGCATTTGTGTCATACTCGCCTAACTCCCCTACCATCAAATTCTGGAATAGTCGAAGATCAAGAACACCTAACTTCTTCTGTGAGAACAGACTGAAAATCACTGTTCTACATTCAAAATCGAAGAAAAAATCACTCACTAGCACAGCCTGAATAGCAAGCATTCCATCGAGATCTGCGAGTGACGTCATCACTGCTGATAGTCAAGGAGAATACACACTCTAAGGAGTGCTTATCGGCCTCGTTTTTGGTAATCGCCGCCATATTGGTTATCCACCATTGTCGACGTCATAACTAAGTCGTCAGCTGTTTAAACAGCCTACGTCAATGCGAGAAATAACATGCTGCCTACGACACAATTGGTATTTTGGCGTGCGGAAGGGGATTTGTTACACATAGGCCTTATGAGGATAGGCCATCCTGGGTCCTTATTCTTGAATCTTGGAACAGGAGAACAGCGTTCCCAGGAGAACGAGTATTCCGTCTTTCTCAATGATATGCGAATGATAATATAAGTAACAAAGACGGGACACTCGTTCTCCTGGGAACGCTGCTCCCCTGTTTCAAGAATAAAGACCCTGTAGTAGTGTGTATCATCCTTGATCTATAGTGACGTCACTAGCAGGCCCAGAATTGGACGGAGAAGGAATTAGGGGAGTATGACACAATTGACACATAACATTTGAGCATAATCAGATTATGTTTGATTATCCTCGCGAAAAATTACCCATTTACCTAAGCACATAACAGAAAAGACAAAAAAGAAGATGCTTACCTGAACAGCAGTCTTGTTCCGTTTCCAACCGGATTTCCAGGAAACGACATTCTACCCGATTCTACCGCCATTTACCGATTAGTTAAGCAAAAGTACAGGCCGCACACACCATTTATAATAGATCCGTTTCTGCAGAAATCACAAACCAGTCGCAGTGAATGGGCACTTTCCAAATTTCACCGATAAATTGACCGGTTAAATAAACCGGTAGCTGTCAAAAAATTCCGGTAGAAGTCAGATGCAAGTCCGGTTACAAGATTTTTCTGGTGCATTTTGAAACGCTTTGGTGTCAAAGTTTGGTGGTGTTGCTTATTATTTTTTGGAATGGGTTTTTTTGTGGGATGCAGTGAGGTTGGTATGTATTTTTATTATTTTTAACAGTCAACAAACGGTAGTTTTCAGTACGATTTTTGTAGATTATGTGAGCTGAGTATTTGATTTGTCGAGTTCATAATGACGCCCACGCACAAACATTTTTTTATTCTGCAATCTGCAAGGAGCAATTTAACGATAGACTGCCAATAGTACCCATTCAAAGCAATTAAATTAATGTACGTCAAAAAAAAGTGTCAAAAAACCTCCAACCGAAAAAACCGACAAAAAATTCCCGGTGGATTCGGTGCCTCACCGTTTCAAACAGCTGATCATTCCGGTCAATTTTGAAACGAACGATCGGGTTCAACCGGGTAAAAAGTCGGTACATTTTGGAACAGTTTGGTGAGTAAACTATTAAACCGGTATCGCACCGGTTCAGAAACCGGTGAATTTTGGAAAGTGCCCAATTTCATGCTGGTTGAAATCCACATTCTACCGCCAATTTCTAACCGGTTAACCTACTAAAGTCGGTATACACCCTCCAGCATTTATCTGTCAAATTGGTCAGCTGTTCTTGACTTCACCGTCAGTCTTCTGTCACGTCAAACGCCAGTCCGTTGTTCCTTGTGGATTTGGAGTGTGTGTGTGGTGGAATGAATTTGCCAATTTGCCATCAAAATTTACTTCGATTTTCTGTGGGGTATGGTACTGGGGAGGGCAGGGCTTCATTGATTATTTAAATAGTTTTAATTTCTAGGAATATTTGGATAACTTTCAGTAAGTTTTTTTTTCCATTGGGCAAAAACAAATTAATTGAAATATTTCCTCTACCTATTTTTAGCTGGATGCTAGATCTCATTGACTTTTTGCTGAATAGTTTTGTGGATTGAAATAAAATAGCTTCAAAGTCAAAGTGAATCAGGTATGTATGTATTTCATAATTATTGTTTACATAGATTTTCTAAAATCTGTTTTTAAAGTAAATTTATTTATTTAATTTATTTATTAATTTATTTATGTTTTTTTTTTAAAGATAATTCCCCAAGTCAAATATTTAGTAACTATGTTGGCAACACAAGCCTTTTGTACATAAAAAATTTGAAAGCATTGACAATTTTACATTGTATTGCCAACAGAATGTCATTTTGACTTTTATCTTTAAAAAAAAACAGATTTTACTTTATGAATATTTCAAGAAAATAAGTTCCAAGTATATTTTTTCTGTTCAGAGAGGAACTTAATTCATATTCCATAGAGAGGTTTATAAAAAAAGACTAGTCTCCAACAGCGTTGCCACCTCACGAAAATTAAATGTAATAGATTCAAGCCAAAATTGTAGTAGATTTGAATATGGTAATAGATTCTTTCATCTGTCAGTTATGCATGTCAGATGACCAAAATATTAGGCTTTCGCGAGGAATGCAAGGATAATCAAGCATAGTCTGATTATGCTGGGTTATGTGATTGTGTCACAGAACCCTAACTTCGTCACCAAATTTTTATAGTGATGACGTCACTCGCAGACCTCGACGGAATGCTTGCGATTCAGGCTGTGCTAGTGTTTCGTGGATTTTAAATGTTGAAAAGGTGAATTTGGGTCTGTCCTCACAGAAGAAATTAAGCGTTTTTGATCCTCGAGTATTCCAAAATTTCATGGTAGGGGAAAATTGCCTATTGAATAGGCACTTTTTTTTCATCAATGTCACCACCATTATACGCCGTATTTATTTTTATGCTGTGTTTTTATGCTCAATTTACTCGCCTGTAACATTTTTTAATTGCTTATTCACCAAAACATAATTTTCCCGAAAAAGGAATAGATTTTTTTCTTTGGTAATAGCGTAATAGAAATTAAATGATTGTAATAGATCTATTACGATTGTAACAGGGGTGGCAACACTGGTCTCCGATAGACCAATTTTAAAATAATTGTATCAGTCATTCTACTAACATCTGTATCCTTAAGGGCCAAATTATGGACTGACTGGTAAACGTCTATTGGTTTCGTGCAGGTGACATCACCAAATTGACACTGGAGGTAAGACAACCTAACCTTATTCCATTTGTTTATATGAAGTTGGAGTATCATGCTTTCTTCTTTTGGCATTTTTTCGATGTTTTAGTTATATTTTTGTTTGATTTGCTGTTTAATAGTTTATAAGACATTTATTTACGTTCATACTGTATATTCGGCGTTATTGCTTTTACTTCCTACAACGGCACAATACGAGGGAATTTTGACCCTAGTCTACATATACTATCCTGGGAAGTGAATTCTATTTCAATTAGAAACAATTTTTCAAAGGATTAGGAGGGCAAGACGGCGAAATTTCAAAAATACACAAAGTTTTAGGTTATGTTACCTCCAAATACCTCCAATGTAGTCACGTGCCGCACGAAACCCATGGCCTAGATAATGGAAAGTACCTGCTAGGTACCATACACTTACCAGTTGGTCCATAATTTGGCTCTTAATCCTTCATTTTTCCAAAAAAAAAAAACGCCTATTTTTTAGAATCGAACTTTCAAATTGCTGCAAAAACGCGGGCAAGGACTATGACGTCAGAGTCTCTCCTAAAATTAAAAAAAAAAATGTGAGGATTCTCTTATTTTGCACTCACACCTATCTCTGTTCAAAGAGATACCCAGAAATCTCAAATGTGAAAGTTGTAGGAAGCTGTTAATGAAGTTAGTTACAAGCGAGGTGACAAGTATACAGGGTATGTTACAAAAGTGTGATGGATGAAGCAAAGTTTACTTTTTTAAATGGAACACCATATATTATTGATCTATTGGATTAGCCTTTCATACCTGATTCCAAATATACTAGGTATTTTGAAGAAATATTATAGATTTTTCACTGGATTAGGTACGTTTATATTTTGCTGGCAGTCTCTATACTTCATTACTTCACCATTTTCAAAAAAAATGCGAAAATTTTCTGATATTACCGAGGATATTACCTACATTGCCTACAACTTTCACATTTCACATTTCTGGGTATCTTTTTAAAATGAGATAGGTGTGGGTGCAAAATATAGACCCACTACTTACATCATTCCAAAACATGACTGCATCGAATTAAAGTACTATAAAACGAAAACTTAGTACATCGCAATCCTAATGGATAGGTATAATCTGTGAACTTTTGTTACCTATTACAATGAATCTAAATGTTTGTCTCCAAAGCCGTTTTCTCGCGTTAACTGTTTTGAAACTGGTTCAAAACAGGTTTGAAGCAGTATATTCTAGTGATAAACCCATGACGTCAAATCAAAATTGGTTCAAACCGTTTCCAAATACAATCCAATCCCCGTTTTAAAACCATTTTCTCGTGCTGAGAAATTATGACGTCATATGTGACAATGTTTTAAACCAGTTTTTAAAAACGTTTTAAGACATTTGAGCCACAAGAAAACACCAACAATCTTTCTTAAAATTTGTATCTCTAGAAGTCATTAGTAATAGAGATGGCATGTAATAGTTTTCACAAGCATCAAAAAAATCTTGAAAAAAGAAAAAAACATGAAGTGAAACTTCTTCCTCAACAATTAGAATTATTAGATTAGATTAGAATTTATTTTTAACAAGAGATAACGATTGGAATAGTAACTAGGGTGCAGGTATGATATAAAATGATCGAGTCAAACGATTAGTTTGGAATTTGACAAAATGATGAATCAATCATGGTAATTTTGAGGAGTAGACAAACACTAGCAACGTTACGAGAATTCCGTAACATCCCGACGGCAACATTTCTGCCCTTTCTCTTACCAGTCGTTCACACTAACACATACGTAAATGCTATATAGGTTACGCTACGCATCCATTTCTCCTCCTGCCGTCTCCCAATCAAGAGTTTACGTATCCCTCCTCCGGTCGCCACTGACGCATTGTGCAGACTCCCCTAACGCGATTGTAATTTTCGTAAAGATTATAACATAATAGCCACATACAATAATAAGGGCAGACATTAATTTATTGCAGATGTAGATTTGCAATTGGCAAGAGCCTAAGGGCCTTTGACAACTTATTATATTCAGTGACACCCGTATTTTCGCGACAAACTACTTCCATGATTGCATGAACACAAACGCTTTCGCGGGAAACTATGACGTCATATTGAGCGTAGTTTGCCGGAGTATGGATGCAGTTTTAGCCAGCGTTCAAACACATGACGTCACAAGACAAACTATGGTTCTTCCTTGGATGAACTACATTCATCGCGAAAATTCCGTTTTTTTTTTGTCACTTAATTACAGTTATATCTGGTTGAATAAGAATACACTAAGCTCCTATTCGAGAAGTGCAGTCCAGAAAGTATACACATTCTGAAAGCTTTTTATTTCAGAAAATGTCGCATTGCTAGCCGAAGTTGGGTAGAGTCCGCGTCAAGAGAAAAGAGTACGTTGACGTCAATTGCGCACAAACCCAATTTTGAAGACTTACCGAACTATCGTATCGATCGGTGCTGCTGCCGAACTCCAAGCACGTGGTTCATTGTCGTACGGCCAGCAGGCATATTTATTTAGTTTACTTTCTATCCAAGTTTTGTCTAAAAAGATACCCCGCTGCTGGTTTCAGCTCACGGTCGAGGTCACGGCAGACAGCGAGAGATAGACGAGGGAGAGAGATCCGACCCGCTTCGCGCAGCTTTCTGTGTCGTCACCGTAGTCTTTACTGCTGACGCGGACTCTATAATACCATCAGTCAATATTCCTTGATAGTTTTTACAAATCACAAGGAAAAACAAATATTTTAGCTTAAAATTTCAAATAGACCAAAATTAAGTCTAAATATCAGATGCACCATAGTCAATTATTTTTAAATGCTAGATAAGAAGTGACACAAAAATAACAATTCTGTTGTTACCTTTTTTTCCTAAACACTATTTCTTTTATTTTCAAGGTTTCAATTGCTCATTAGAATGATCAATAGGAATGATTAAAAAAATGAGTCGTCACGAAGGAGTCAGCTGCGATTCATGCCTAAAAGGAAACTTCAGAGGCCGCAGATACAAATGTCTAGTTTGCTACGATTACGACCTTTGCGCTGTTTGCTACGAAACCGGAGCCACCAACACTCGGCACACCACCGATCACTCCATGCAATGTATTTTAACCAGATCTGATTACGACGTTTATTATGGAGGCGAAGCCATCAGCACTCTGGAAATGCCTCAGTCGTATACTTGCCCTTATTGCGCTCGCATGGGATTCACTGATGTAACTTTGCAGGAGCACGTTACTGCTGAACATCAGGACACTAACTTTGAAGTTGTGTGCCCTCTTTGCGCAGCAATGCCCGGTGGAGATCCAAATCTAATGACTGACGATTTTGATGGACACTTGAAGTTGGAACATCGTTCAGGGCCTCGCGATCTTATTTCATTTCTTGATGAACCTGTAGCGAGTCGTCACAATGTAAGACGTATACCGCACACATCTTCATCACACCCTTCAGCTACTAGAGGATCTACTACACTAAGACCGCGCCGATCCAACATGCACTTTAATGTTTTTAGTTCTGGCGGTTTGTCATCTTTAAGTCCATCAGCTCGTGAAAATGTGGATCCAATCGCAGAGCTGCTTTCTCAACTTTCTGGTGTGAGACGTTCTACTAGTAACACTTCCAGTAGCACTCCCACACAGCTTCAACAGCTTCAAATGCAATTACAGCTCGAACGACAACAAGTGAATGCAGCTAGACAAAATTTAGAACGTTTTCCAAGGCGTTCGGCCCAAAATCAAACAATTAGGGAACCACATACTTCAAACTTTGGAACGTCTACGATTTTGCTCAATGCTTCTCCTGTTATGGTTCAATCTACTAACACTCCTCCAGCGCCTACACAGGGGTACAACTCTCAATTCCTTTTATCAGGTTTATTAGAAGAAATGTCTTTAAATTCTACTCCGAGTGAAGAACGTCACGAACGTGCTAGTTTTGTACAAGAATTGATATTATCTACACTATCAACTCCTGCTGATGGAGGTGAAAGCTACGAGGAAAGGTTTAAAAAACTAATTAAATCGAGCCGATCTGCTTTCGATTTTGCTGAAGAAGGCGAAGTCAGACCACAACGTTTAAGTAACACTGTATTGAGAGGACGGGCTAGACAGGACAACCACAACGCTAGAAGAAGGGCCGAAGCGAATCGCAAGGATAAGAATAATGACGATTCTGAGCCCGAGAGAGACAGATAGTTTTAGATTTGTGATTTTTCAATTTACACTATTTAATCCGGTGAAATTATTCAATTATAAAACAACTTAGGTGTATTAAAATAAGAATATCTTTTTAAATTATTGCTAATTTTGAATATTCCCAGTGAATGTGCTTTAATCTTAGGCTTTATTAGCGGGTTTGTACTTTTTTTCTTTAGTTATTATAAAATATGCGAAAGACACTTGAACTTTTAAATTTTTTTTAACTAGGTAAGTCTGAGTCATGATAATTATCACTGCTAGCATAACTTTGATCCTGAAACACACATGTTCAGATGTGATGTCATCATAATGAATACAAATACAATGCTGTTTTCTGTATCGTCTTTTACTTTGTTCTGACATTATTTAATTTGAAAAGCATTGAAAAAAATCCCCATACGGAGTTTTTTGAAACAAGTGCGCAAATTAATACTTTTCCGCACGCGAAAGCAGCTACTTAGACGAACAAAGACAATGGCAGCAAATATCCAGTTAAGTTCCATACAATTTTGTAGAGGGCGTGAGTGAACTTGGAGTGGAAAGAAAGATGACTACATATGAACAATGAACAGTGAATAGGTTAAAATATCTTCCAAAACGTTCAGTGGCCCTTAAAGAATATTTTCAAAAGTGTCAGCGTCAGCTTGTCTCGAAACCACATATCAAATTTGACATTTGAGGTTAAAATTACATTCGATTATTCACGCGCCAAAATTTAAAAAGCTCCAAGTACAGAAGCGCCCTCTTCAACTCAACTGTCAATATTACATGCCATTCGCGCACGTGTTCAGAACATTCTTTTGTCTACTAGTTTACAAACTAGAAGCGTACGGTATACAGTAGTGCGGAAAAAGCTTCTTGCGCATATAAATGAGTGCGCAAAGTAGCTACTTTGAGATAGAACTTCGTTTAGAAGAAACTTGTTATACAGGGTGTTCTATGGATCTACTGACAAACTTTTAATTTTCCGTTCATTGCGCACGGAAATGAGTGCGCAAAGTAGCTTCTTTGAGGTAGAAACATCGATGTGTTGGTTGAAGTTTGGGAAAAAAGTAATCTTACATGGGGAACAATCCCAACACGGAAGGAGGGAAGAGGTAACAGTTCAGTGCCACAAGGGCAAAAAAAGTTTTAACGTATTTACAAGGCTTTCATTTGTATATATCTGCTCGGAGCAGATCTGAATTGAACCCCAATTCTTGGAACAGGGTAAATATGAACGCCTCTCGAGGAGAACGCTGCTCCACTTTTACACCGTAGCATTGAACGTGTGCTCAGATTACCTTGGAGCAGATCTAGTAGATACAAATGAAAACCTCATATGTTGGGGACAAGTTCCAAATGTTTTGTTTGATTATTTATTTTATACCTAAGCACTATAGTTTTTACCTTTTTAAATTTGTTTCTTTTACCTGTACTGCTACAGCTTCACATAAAAATGAACTTGAGAACCGACATGAGATACTTAAACCCCTACGAAATCCACAAATTATTAATCAACCAATACGTATTAAAACACCCAGGAAGCAGCAAGTTATTACAAAGGGACAAATCGAAAGACCGAACCGATTACCATGTCCTAAAAGACAACCACAAGTTCCTCTGGGACGACAAAGCACCTGAAACATGGGAGGAACAATTCGCTAAAAAGTATTACGAGAAATTGTTTAAAGAATATTGCATTGCAGACTTGAGTCGATATAAAGAAAACAAAGTGGCACTACGATGGAGGATAGAAAAAGAAGTTGTAAGTGGTAAGGGGCAGTTTATATGTGGCAATAGGACTTGTCAAGAAGAGGATGAATTGAGAAGCTGGGAGGTTAATTTTGCGTACTTGGAACAAGGACAGAAAAAGAATGCTTTAGTAAAAATTAGGCTGTGCCCTTCGTGCTCTAAAAAACTCAATTATCACAGCAAGAAACGAGAAGTAAAACGACTACAGAAGAAGGCGAAATACAAAGATAAAATTGGGGAAACAACAAGTACAGTGGTAAAAGTTGTGGAAGCTAAAGACAGCGAAAGCATCTCCAAAGAAGATGAGGATTCTTCAGTGAGAGATTCATCAAGTCAAATTGAAGAATCTACTAGTCAGACTGCAGAAACACCATGGGAAGAACATAAACCGATGGAAACTAAGTCTAGAGAGGAAGAAATGGAAGATTATCTTCTAGATTTGTTAATTTGAACCAATATTGGTTTAAAATATGTATTTATAAGTGGGAAGTTGACTTTAATATTCAGATTTATGCGGAACAGAGAGTATTAATGATGGGAATTGGAAATTTATCACTGTAGAAATTTGCATTGAAGATTTAAGTACTTCAATGATAATTGAGGACAAATAAAGTAAAGTGGAAAGTTGATGGTTTCATTGGTTTTAGTACCTAGTTTTTTCATGGTTATTTTCCTTAGGTATATTGCATTTTTAAGTAACTTTTGTATTTTTTCAAAGTAGGTATGCTTGGGAGTTACCATCATGAACTAAAAGTGCTAAAATTACTCCCAAATGACAAATATTGATACAATTTTCTAGAAGGCAAGTTTTCTTACTTTTCTTTTGTGAAGAATGAAAAGCATAAAAGCAACAAATCCGCCGCTTGAAAAAAAAAACCGGCGATAGCGATTTCTTTTTGCCATTCTAGTGTCGCTCCGAACATTTGCATAGCCGAAGTAAAAGTATATCTTAAAAGCTAGCGGACTCGGAATCGTTTTCTCGCAATAACTGGATGAACCCGGTTCGGAACCAACAAGCAAGCGAGTCCGAAAACGATATCGCAGACTCGACTGATTTTTTTACACATTTCCACCGTTTTCCTTCAAACTTTGTTTCGCTCTGGGGCGACCAGTTGCGCGGTTAGGGCTATTCGAATGTCGAAATATAGAGCACTTGAATTCAAAAAGAATATATTTTTGAGAGTAACTCCTAATGACTCCGAATAACTAGGATCTTGTGACTAATTAAGGTGAGTTCGGAATGGTAGAAAGTGTCGACACTTTTTACACTATGGCGTTCATTAATTGGTAGGAGTAAGTTTGGTGTACAGTTTATGTGCGTTTGGAAATAGTTGTATTCAAAACCCCGGAGCGAGTAGCTCGAGTGTTTCAAACTCTTGAAAGGAATACAGCTATTAAGTTGGTGTCCGAATGGTGTGAAGATAGTGGAACACTGTTTACCCGGTACAAAATGATGGTGTATTTGGTGTTACACCGCCGATTACACCTTCGTCGCGTTATATAACACTGCACTACACGAATACCGCACTAGCACTGCACTGAAATCCCATTCCCAACTCAACTTTAAAAAATGCGGAATTGGGGCAAGGAGAATACATACTCAAGGAGTGCTTATCGGCCTCGTTTTTGGTAATCACCGCCATATTGGTGTGTCACTAGCCGAAGTCATAACTAAAGCCGCTTTCCAGCTGTGTGCTTCAAGCACGGTGCAGCACAGTGTTCTGTGTTTGAAACGTAAAAGTTAGCAGCTCTTGAAGCGCAGTACGGCTGGAACACGAATACGCACTTGAAGCATTTGCGCGCGCAAAAGCTCGATTGCGTGCTCAAAGCGTCAGCTGGAAAGCGGCTTAAGTCGTCAGCTGTTTAAACAGCCTACGTCAGGCGAGAAATAACATGCTGCCTACGTCACAACCGGTATTTTGGCCCGGGGGGATTTGTTACACACAGGCCATATGAGAATAAGCCATCCTGTAGTAGTAGTTAGGGCGGGTATTAGAAAACTACTTTGAGAGTTAACTTAAAGTTAACTTCTGGAATTACATGTAATTCAAAAAGTTAACTTCAAGTTAACTGTCAGAGCAGTTTTATAATACCCGCCCTTAGTAGTGTGTATCATCCTTAGTATTGGGGTACCGGCAAAAAAAAACCAGATAGCGTTTTCCAACTAAGGAAGTTTCAAGTTGATGTTTTCAATTAAAAGAGATGGACGATAGTATAAAAACATACATTTTCCCGCCAACATTTGCTTGCTTGTCAATAGGTCTGTTTCTGCAGAAATCACAAACCAGTCAGAGTGAATTTTATTGGTTGAAACTAGTTTTCTGACTGTTTTCAACCAATGAAATTGGCTCTGACTGGTTTGTGATTTCTGCAGAAACAGACTTGATGTCATTGATTTGAATTTGATGCAATAGATTTGATGGAAACTTATGGAAAGAGACGTCCGCCGGTAAATAGGAATTATTTCTACGAAAAGGCACACTACACACAACCACCATTGTTAGGAAAACCCCTTGAAAAAACTGAGGAAATTATAATTTCCAGTTTCCACTTGTCAACAAACCACTGTCAGCGGCTGTCAACCAAAGCAAAGCTTCACTTTAAATATCCACCAAAAAAACTAATAGCCAATATTTTCGGTAAGTAATTAACAATTGGCCATTGGGCTCATAGCACCGTCTACCATTTTTGAACAGCTAGGGCGTCGCACCGGTGTCACACTCACACTGGGTTTGTCATTCCTGAACTCGCCCCAGGTAACCCGATTTTGGGCAAGACCGGGTACAGTTCCTTTCACGAAGGTTTATACTTACACGTCATCGATGACGTTATATCTTAGTAAAAAAATCATGTGCAGCGCCGTACACGTGGTAGAAGTGAAACTTCTTAAAAACTATCTCCCCTCCCTCATACACCTTTTAAACTTAGCGACTCATAGCAGTTTCCATTTGTCGAACCAATGCAAAAAAAATGTATCCTCATCCTTACATGTTACATGCTTTTAGAAAAAGATGCGGATATACTCAGTGCGCACTGATTGACAAATGGAAATCGCCATCATAGTCGGGGTAAAGACGAAAGACTCCACAAAATGGAGATGCGCATCTGTAGTGACGACATGAGGGTATCGACGCTTGACAATAATAGGCAATCCTCTCGGCTTATAATCCTTGGTTTGTGTCAATCAGTGTCATTGTCATTGGCTGTCTTTCTTCGTATTTCTACGTTATATCTTTCTTCTTTCTCGTGTAACGAAAGTTTTCAAAACGTGACGCGTCTTTCAAATCACCCTCCATTCTCGTCTAAATAGCTATCAGACCGCCACTTCAAAAATAAAAAACAAAGAATAAAAGAGTGGAAATTTTTGAGGAATTTTTTGAAATGAGTCAGGTTAAAAGACGAAGAGAAACGTGCATCTGCAGTGACGTCACAAAGGTACCGTGCTTGACAATAATAGTTTATAATCCTTGGTTTGTGTCAATCGTTCGTCGGCTGTCATTGTCATTGGCTGTCTTCCTCCGTCCCTTTACGATATATATCTTTTCTCTCGTGAGAATCAGACCGCCGCCAAATCTTTCTAATTTGTGCGAAATTCGCTTTTTTTTGACATTGCTTCGAAATTTGACGTTTGATACACGCATAAAACGTCAAATTGTCGAAGCAATGTCAAAAAAATAGAGTGAATTTCGTGCAAGTGAGAATGAGGCATAAGAAGTTTCACTTCAAAAAGAGTTTGTCGTACATTTCATTAAATTTAATAGCGTTCAAATTTTGGGGAGCAGATTCTCATGAGAACAAAGGTTCTGTCTTCGTCGTTTTATTCATATTTCCATAACACTGACAATGACAGAGCAATAATTCTAATGAGAATGCTGTTCTTCGGTTTCGAGAATAAATAAGTCCCAGAGCGAATTTCATTGGTTGGAAAAACAGTCGAAAAATTGGTTGTTGGCGCCAATCAAAAAAGCTCTGACTACTGGTTTGTGATTTTTGTGAGAACAGACCTAGAAAATCAATTTTTTCGAAAGTTTTAAGTACCGACGAATGTTTATGACGTCATTAATTTGTTTCAGTCAATTTTTATTTGTTAAAAAAAGGAAGGTAAATTATGACGTAATACAAACCCTGGTGAAACGAATTATGCAATAGTTTTTCTACAGATTTGCGGAAATAAGTATACCTGCATAATTCGTAGTAATTTAATAGTTTTTTCTACAGCCGTGCGGAAATAGTATATTGTGCAACAAGTGTTGAAAATAGCACTTTTCACACCCGTTACACACCATACTTTTTCTACGACCGCGAAATAACTATATTCACATTGAAATTTAATTTTTTTTTGTTAAAAATTATTATTTAGGGTTATAATCATAACGAACCATTTTAGTACGTACGTTGAATGCACTCAGAGTTACTTACAAAAATTCAGTAGAAGTGTCATTTTTATTTTAGCGTGTGAAAAGTACTTTTCGCACGCTGTGCGGAATAATTGATTTTACAGGTAAGTTAGTAGTGCGTTTTTAATAGCTTTCTAGTGCAGTCGTGGAAAAAATCAATTTTCTGCACCATTATATGTGCGGAAAAATTTTAACTTGAAATACCTACCTACCTATATGGGAATTTTGGAAATTATTGAAGATACAGGGTGGAACGACCAGATGGGAAAAAGTTGCACTATAAAGTGCCTACAAATAATTTGTCATCAACTTCTTATTTGAACTCGGGATAGCAAGAGATATACGGGGCAAAAAAAAAAAATTGCGTTTCATAAAATTTTTTAGGTAATCTTGGAGTTAGAAGAATGTGGTTTTCGCGCATCACCCTTTATTTCGTTCAGATACAAGGTGTTTTTGAAAATGTTGCATTTTGGGACACCCCTTGTATCTCGGTTCTCTCAACGCTGTTCGAAAAGGTCACAACGGGTTCATATAGATCCTTTCGAAAAGGGGGTCCCAAAATGCAACATTTTCAAAAACACCTTGTATGTATATGAAAAACAAAAAGGGCAATGACAATTTTGTTATATCTTTCGTTTAACAAAAAAGTTGTCAACATTTACGAAAACCGCATTCTTCTAACTCCAATATCAACCCTTTATGTACCTACAACCAAAATGGGACACCCTGTACAATACAAAGGATTTTATAGATCACACTTTTTTTTGCCCTGTGTTGCTATTCGGAGTTCAAAGAATTTGATTATTTTGTAGGCACTTGATTGTGCAACTTTTTCCCCATTTGGTCCACCCTCTGTATCTTCAATGGTTTCCAAAATCCTCTATGTACTTCTACTTCAAGTTATTCCGGATATCCTGTATATTGACGTTGGAAATGGAAAACAAATTAAACAAATCATATTTTTATTTATAAAACTTTACTTTAATAAATAAACAAAATAAATAATGATAATAATAAAGTTATCAAAACTATATACAGGGGCGAGCATAAGTACAAAAAATATCACAATAATAAGACATAGAATGTCAAACTAAAAAATGAATATGTAAAATGAGGGCGACAATGTGATGGCAAAATACTGACTAACAATCAATAAATAAATACGAAAAAAATGTTAAATGATTAAGTTAAAAAAGAAAAATGATTACCTAGATGAAATTTTTGGTTTCATTTGTCGAGTATTGATCTAGACTATTCACTAACAAATCAGTCAGAAACTTATAAATTGAGATTCTTAAAACAAAAAACCCTAAAAGTAGTCTTACTAATGACCACTTATACTCAACGCTATTTCTAGCCCTATAAAAGTGCTCATCATGCCTACATAAACAACTATACAGATCCACCAAATGATCTTCTCCACTCGGGTCTCTCTGAGATTTCTCAGAATATTGACGCCGACTAATAAACCGCAAATTGCACCTCCCAAATGCGATATGTAACTGATGTCGTCTTTATTTCTAAACGTTACGTATTTGTAAATTGTATCAAATACTGTGAAGGAACTGAAGAGGATTAGTTGGACGACTGGTTGGCTCATTTCACGCCAATTCTGAAAAAGAGAACAAAACTGTGAAACTTTTGAAGCATTTGTCGAAGGTTTGTCTTCATTCTTATTATAATTTAGAATCTTGTGTACCATATAAATATGATATAATGGGGTGAAGTTAAACTACTCAAAGACAAAAACAATATTTCGCATTTGGAAATATTGGAGTATGATAATTACAATATAGAATGATTATTATTTATATCAGATTCAGTAGCTCGTGGGAATAGGAGGTTTCCTAATTTAAAACGTCAAATCATTTTATACAATTCCAAGTATTTCATATTATGATGGGATAATTTGATTTTTGCAAAAAATATGTTATTAATGAAAAACCCAATGAAATATTGTTTATTGGCAATTAGTAGCTCGTGTTTTGATAAATTTTTTATAGTTATTTTAGAAAAATATTTACATATGATGGATAAAAATATAACTTAATTATAATAATTGTATCAACTGAAACTTTTGAATCAATAAATTCTTACCATAATAACAGTCGCTATGTGAGCAGTGAAGATGGAATAAACTCCTGGACTTCCGCCAGTCAAATCTTCGTCAGGATAAATGACCGACTGGAATAGAGATCCACCAAGAACTCCTGCGCAATAAATTATTAACACTCTCCAACTGTGGACCATCTCCAACGGTAACCCTACCAGTAATTGGATGGCTACGTTTGCTACAAGATGGAACGGACTGGAATAAACAAAAATATTGTTAATAATAATCTACTTTTTAGCAATATTTTTGGAATAATATTCTGATTCTTGGCATACTTTTAACCCTATTGCCACTCCACTTCACCTACTTTCCAATACAAAATCTAAAGTTTAGAACCAATGAAACTAATTTAGAGAGAGACTGTATCTGCTTCCTTTATAGTACCTGATCTTTGTTTTCCAGAACTTAAATTAATAGGGCAGATCTTGTCAGAATAAGAGAGACATACCTAATAAGCAATAATAATTTATAGTTTGCATGCATTAATAACAATAAACTTCAGGAATTGACTAAGATATTAAGTCCCTATCAACGATAGAGACTGCATGCATGTAGAGAACTTTATGTAACAGCATCAAATACTACAAAAGTACTTACGAGTTATGTGTAAACATGTACGTCATATACCGCCAAACTTCCCGTCTTTTGTCGTGCTTAAACTCTAAAGGGTCCTTACTGCTAGTGTAGAACAGGATGATCTGGATCACGGACAACAGAATCATCCCGATATCAGTCGGTTTGAATTTCACCTCGTTCTCGTACATGCCGGTGATAGTGTGCATACGTTGCAATTGTACTTTGTTGATTCTTCTCGTCCGACATACTGGGACAACTAGGAACTTTACATATCTGGAATTAAAAACATTAAGTTGATTATTACTGTTACAAATCAATCAATTATATAATAACAATAGTAGGTATTGTTCTTGCGGTTATTATTACTCAACCAACCATAAAACGGAATTTTCTTATTTACATTATTAGGATTCATCATCAAGGTTGTTACGGTATACTATTTTTGTCTGATGCGATTTAACTTATGTAATAAATTGGTTCCTACCTATTTCCAAGGTTGGTAAAATCCTTTAGGAAACCATCGTTTGTGATCATCTCGACGAACTCTTCAAAGTCCAATTTGTTGTCATGGTTCTGGTCGAAGCGTTCGTAATTGTTGAGGATGATCGGTGTGAGAGGTTCCGTACTGGAAGTGACTTGTTCGTTGGTTTTGATGAAGGCGGTGAACTCTTCAAGGCTGACGAAACCATCATGATCTCTATCACACTGGAACAAAAATAGGATATAAAGATTGGTAATTCAACAAAATTGATTTAAAAGGAATGACAAAAAACAAATTCCTTGTGATAGCAAAGTACCCACAAATATTTCCACAAAAAGGAATTTTTTAAGTAAAAACCAATTAAGTTTTAATTTTTCATAAATCTAAACCTGGTAAATTCAAATAAAAAAAAATATTTGAGATTCTCTGTGAAGAGTGAAACAAATTATTTGAGGATTGAAACCGCGATAACTGGAAACAAAGTGAAAACCGATTGTAGAATGAAAAAAAACTTGATAAAAGTTGAAATAATAAAGAAAAAAACATGCAAAATTGATTTTGAAAAATGAAAATAACAAAAAATCACTGAAAAGAAGCTCAAACCCCAGCTTCTCAAACTCTTAACAAAAAAAAACTTCAGAAAAAATAAATAGATTTTTATCAAAAACACAAGCTTAAGGAATTTTTTAATTAATTTCCATTCGTTGTAAAAATACAGAAAAGTTCGGTATATAAAATTATTGTTAGGACTTTATGTCATTGTTCAGTTATTATTGGGTCTCACCTGTTCAAAAACCGTCCTATAATGTAAAATAATATTTTCATGAGTCCATAGCATCATAATGTTATTGTTTTATTTAATGACATAAATCCAGAAAAAATTATTTACGGATGTAAATTGGTACCGCTCGCGGTTCAAACAACTCATTTAACGAGAACTGCTGCCCGGGTACTGCCAGGTGACGGTACTTCGCGTTCTAACAGGTGAGCGCGGACTGTGGCGAAACACGAGGCAACAAAATAATCTTTTGCAATAGTTTTTTTTAATAAGGATCATTAGAAAAACCCAACAGTACTTATAGAAGACTTTATAGGGCGTGTGGTTTATATAAAGTAGTTGATTTTTTGGGGGCGACCGACGTGAGAGTTTCAACGACTGCCAAATGAAATTTATGGAGCAAAAATGACTTCACACAATAATTAACTAAAAGTGAGAAGTAAGACATAAAAATAGATGTTCCACGAATTATATTTGAAATTAATAGATTTATATAAGGCAAAATTCCGTTATGACATCTCAATTAACTGCTGAAAGGTTTCAATTCAATTTATCTTTATTATATATATGAGGATGAGTCAAAGTTTTTTAATAGCGAGAAGATTTCGATAGATATATGATTTATTTTAAGTGCTTTCTCTTCTTTGGAATTACATATAGTATATTTGACTATTTAAGACCCAAAATTTATTTTAGGAATTTAATTTCTATTGGCTTTTCATCACAAATTAACTTTTCCGCAGACAGAAATAATCAAAACATTGTCATTGAATAATCATATTCATCAATCATAATAAATCTTGAAATGTGCTGCTGGGGCTATTTTTAATTGAAAAAATAAAGGTTAATTATGCAAATTTAAATATTATTTTGTTTATAAATAGATTAGTGATTTTAATTGCATATTTTTGGTTTATTTTATTTTACTTTCCGGGCACACATTTGTCATTTGAAATATTTTAAATAATACGTATTTTTCAGTTCCCAGTCCAGCAGAAGTTTGCAGGATAAAGAAGGATTTATTTAAAAAATTCTGGGCATTTCAGAAGGTTTTCCAAGCTTAGAAAACATTAGATCTCTTCTCCATCCCTTAATTGGGGGTTATAGAGGGTAAAAGGCTACTTTGTAAAATTTGCATAAACCCTACTCCTTCCCATTCATACTAGAATGCCATTCCCTAGCCGGGATTCGAACCCGGGACCTGCAGCATGCAAAGAAGATACTCAACAACTCAACTCAAACATCTTTATTTATAAATTTCTTAGGTGTACATTACAGGCAGGGGGGATAAGCTCCCCTCAAACTACAAATATACAACATTTACTTAATACTACTTCTTAAACTAGATTGCAGCGTGCGCAGCACGCTGTGCTCACATACTCGCCTAGCAAGCATTGTGGACGCTTTAGCCAGGTCGATCTTGTTGACCGCAAACCCTTGTTCCTATTATTCAATTACAACTTTCCACGATGGTCCCCGGTTGCCCGTTGCCCTATAACGTCAATTATTTGATCCTGAGGTCGCTGGTGAATACCACGGATGGCGCGCACTAGGTCATTACACCAACCTGTCTCGAGAATAAGGATGTAATGCTCAGAGTTGGAGTTGCAGAGCGTGCAGCGCTCGTTTTGTGGCGAAAAAGCATGGAAAAACCCCACTTTTCATTAATTTTAGGATATAAATAAAAACAAAATGTTGTGTCCTTGGGCGATCGGGTTCACTGGACGCGTCCTCACTAGCAATTGTGAGCTTCGAGTAGAGCTAGAGTCCAGTCTGCTGTTGTGACCACCAGGTACAGTGGGTTGTCCTGTCCCGTGTTCTTCATTGGGTTAACCTCCTTCACCCTCATCATGGTGTATTTGTCAGATACTCCTGATCTCGGACGGTGCGTAGTTCCCCCTCATGTAACGCATGACAAAGGCGTGTGTCTTTTCTGAGGGAGCAGTATAGGTGTGGAATTCCGCACCGTCTTGGCTTAAGTGCTTGGTCATACTGTCGTGGTCTGCCATGTTCTTTAAACCGTACAGGTATGACCGAGTTTCTGGCATACTTCATCTCGAGTGGCTCACTGGTGATGTGTGACGCCATCTCGACAAATTCTTTGTGGTTTGACAGTTTACCCTTTACCACAATTGGCCGTGGCTTTAGCTGAAGGAGGTTTGGCCTGGATGGAGCAGATACACTAACCACTACACTGCCTAGGTCGGCACTAACTGACCCTATTTAGCATTAGAAATTTTAGGTTCATTTTAGAACACAATCTCAACCTGAAAATGAAATTTCAACATTTCTGAAGGAAGAGGAGAATCTTTTAAGTAATATTTCTGAAACGTTTGAAAAATCATATTTTCAACTGTATTTAGGTACCTATATTGAGGATACTGAATTTTTCTCGAAATTCTACAAATTTTGTCTGATTTGGAATTTTAGGTCCAAAACAAAAAGACAAGATTCTTGGTTGAATTTCTAAAAAGTTTGAAAAATCATATTTTCAACTGTATTGGAGATACTGAATTTTCTTCTAATTTTCTGTAATTTTTGCCTCATTTAGAATCTCAAGTCCAGAGCGAAAAGACAAGATTTTGAGTTTTTAATTTCTCAAAAGGTTGTTTGTCTATTGGAGATATTGAATTCGAAATTATTTTCCATCATTCCGACTTCAAATCTTACAGTATGAAGTTCCAAAAAGATTAATTTGGAGTAAAATACAGGAATGAAAATTCAATAACCCAAAGGAAATTAGGAATTATGAATAAAGAAATAAGGAAAAGTTAAGAGCCTGGAATAAGAAAAATGATAAAAATTCAAGAATTTGAAACCTTTTCTTGCTGATATTTCCTTATTATTATTACTCATTTTATAACTTTCAATTTTTGTCTGAAATTCAAAAGTGTTCTAACTTGGCTGGAAGAGTTCTAGAGCATTTTAGAAGTTTTTCAGTAATTAATAACTTGTTCTGACAGATTTTTTGGTATTCTAGAGCCCTATTGAAACTCCAAAGTGTTGTTAATTGGTTCAAAAGAGTTCTAAAAGGTTTCCAGTTCTAAATTGAATCCTAATTATTCTAAAATAACTCTTAAGTTTTGAAATTGAGTTCTAAATTGTTTCCAAACTGAAAATTCTGATTTGGACTTAAGGTCTAAAGTTCGAAAACAATATAAATTCGTTCTTAAAAGCTTTCTGAAAGGCGTTTTGTAACTTTCAACCTGAATCCCAAGATTCTGCCGCTTTTCAAAATGATTCAAAAGATTCTAGAGTGTTTTGGAGCGTCCTAAAAATGAGTTTCAAACTTCTGAATTGTTCTAAAATGCTTTTGGAAATTGTAAGTTTTTGAATGTCTTCGGGCATTCTAAAATGATTCTGAAATTTCCAAAATGTTCTGAAGCGCTACAAAATGCATTTGGAACTTCTGAAATGAATTTTAGTGTTTTGAACGTTCCAAAAGGCTTATTGTAATTCTAAAGTGTTCTGTAGAATTCTAAATGGTTTCCAGTAGCTTCTAAATTGAATGAGTAACGAATTCTGTGGGAAATTTTTGTAGAGACATCTAAGATGTAAAGACGTCTTTAAGGACTAAGACATTCTAAAGACGTCTTCAACTTCGAATTTCTTTTCATTACGTAAACCATTATTCACTTTTAAGCCAAGTTGTATTAAATAGTTGTTTTTAAGATGTGAATTCACGACTTCTAGTGTACGTCTTCAAAACAGGATTTTTTAGATGTTTTTTTTTTGTGTTTAGACGTTCAGATGTAATGCAGACTTAAAAAAGACGACTTTAAGATTCCCCTGAATAAAGAGGAAACTCTTCTAAGTTAAACTAAAAATTTTGCAAAATCATATTTCCAACTGCGTTGAAGACATTGAACTAAAATTTCATGAAAATGTTGCTCAGCCATTTAAGTAGAAAAATTTCTTAATAAAAAAAGAATAAAAAAGAAGTGAAATAATATTATAGATGAGGAACACATGCAAAGGGACTGAACATATCAAACAAACATTAATATATTTTAAATAATCATGGTCCATAGATCTACATAAAACAGACGACCATAATACATTAAAATTTTTCAAGGTTTCTAAAGTACAGAATTTATGAATAAATTATCGATCATTGATCAATATTATTTTGATTTTGATACCGGATCAATTGAAATCAATACGGCGCCGAAAAAAATTAAATATTCGAAAGGCCAACCCCAACAAATATTGCATTGAACTATCAATCGTAAAAGACAAAATGCGTAAGATTTACGTCACATTTTACGTAAGTGAAAATACCCGATAGGAGTGCAGCTGCGGTTTTATCTCTTCGAAGATGTTCTAAAATGGAGCATTTAACTCGAAGGAAAATCCCTAATTGGTGTCAATGAAAAAAATAAGTGTTTACCAAATGGTCATAAAAATAGCATTACATGCATATTTCTAAATGCTGTAATAAAATTT